TCCAGATAGCCTGTTGGTGCTGGGAAGGAGCTTATTTTTCCATAGAGAAATTATGATATAGTGGGATTGACAGTACACAGAATTTGCATATCGTCCCTACACACAAACAGCCCAATACTGTGGAGTCTTGTCACATCTAACCAAGCAGGCAGGAGCAGCATTGCTTACACAGATATAGAGCAATGCCCTTGGAGGAAACGTTCCAGAGCAAGGCAGGCGATCCTGTGCTCCCCTTAAGCACCTACAGCTACAGCCAGGCTCAGTTCCACCTCTTGTGAACTTAGTGCTATGAGGAAAGAATGCCTCTGTCTGCTGCCAAAGCTGAACACATAAATCACTGGATGCAAAAAGGTTGTGCCGTCGGTGCTAGATTGCAAAATGCATTTCACAATTACAGCTGCTGAATGAACACATCACTACACCATGCCCAGCTGCTCCTTAAGCCTGGAAACAGTCTAGCTAGGAGCAATTGAAACTATTCTAACACAACATATGATTTTCATGTAAAACACCTACAGCTTTGAGGTTGAAAGGAAAAGCAATGCAGCAATTATTTTGCTGCAGCTCATCTCTGGTGTAAAGAAAAAAAAAATGCATGAATGCAGCCTTGTTCCCCAGATAGCTATGATCACATTCATCAAACACTACACATTCCTGTCTGAAAAGCAGAGACTCACAAACAACCCTAAAGCAAGAAAGGCCTCGCTTCCATATGGTTTTTACAAAGCCAGATAGAAGGGAAAAAAAAGAAAGGCTTGTGCACATAAATACAGATATAACACAGAATGCTTCCTTGCTAAATGCTAATCTCCTTGGTTTTTTGAAGCTGGCACGGGTTGTTCTTGAGATAAACACCATAAACCAAGTATAAAGTAACCCTCAACAGGATCATAGGTGTTTAACACCTGGGAGGGTGACTTCAAACCCCTACAATGCATAAGCTTGATGGCGGTTTGTGTTGGAGCACTGCAGTTCTGCTGTGAATCTCTCTTTCCTCCTTTATTTTAGGCACTCATAAAGGAGACACTGAAAAAATACCCATTTTTCTTCTGTAAATTTTATCGTGTTGATATTTTTCACAGCAGCAGCTGTTCCCATAGGTCTTGAAACAGTTGCTGTCAGCTAGATGTAGTATTTCATGTAATTAAAAATAAATAATAAAAAAGCAGCAGAAGCGTACTGAGTATTATTTAGTTACCTTCAGGTACCTAAAAGGCTCCACATGATGTAACCAAAACCCTCAAAAAAATAGAAGACATGAAATTTTCACATTTTTCAATAATTTGCCCTACAGAAAAGATGAAAATCTTGACCTACTTGAGGAAGGAGGTTATTATATTCATTCTGCTTATCCAGAAAATACTGTTTGACATATATGTAAAACACAAAGTTATATGAAGGAACAAGTTAAGTCATGCCAGTCATTAGGAGTAATTCTGCAGCTCTCTCTCTGGCAGAATTGCTCATTGAAGTCATTGGGAATTAGGCATGTGAAGAGACCGAGGAATTGCATCCCATTTATTACCATTATTTTCTTCCACTGAGGTCGGGCCAATATTCTTGTACCCTTGAACTACTTCTGGCCTCCCACATGGGTGAGGCTGCACAAGCTCTCCAGGTGGAAGGTGCTGCCCATGGGAAGCACTAGTGGAATGATAGCTTTCCACTCCATTCCTTGGTGGTGGCACCACTTGGCTCAGAGGAAGTGTAACCATAGAGCACAACCCAGACCAGTCAGCAGGCTGGGCTTGGAGTCCTATCAAATCATGAGGCTCAAGGAGTAAGTTCATTATTAGCTAAAACTAATAAATGTCTACAGTGCTAACAGGCACAGTCCCACCCATCTTCTTTACTCTCACAAGGGTAGGCTTCACACCTCCTTTATTCATTTACTGTAAGTTAGCGATAAATACGAGTGATTTCAAGAATTTTTCTCCATGTACACTTAAATCTTTCACTTTCATCAGTAAGATTTGAAATTCACATTGCTTTGAGAGAACCTGGTGTACAGAATTGCTTCCTACAGCCCATGGTTGTGTTGTTCTGGTTGTTTACTGACAGCAGGATTCTACACTAACATTTCTTGCAGGACCAGAAAGTTCAATCTTTCCTACAGCACAACTAATAGATTATATGTTGTAGCATGTCAGAACGCAGAAACAACAGACTGCAACTCATGCAGAAATACATTTGCCTTTCAAGTTCAGTTAGAGGTTTCCTTTTTAGTTCATGTCTTCCAAGATAATTTAGAAAAACATAGCACTACCCCCTCAAAATCAGTGCTGTTTCATCAGGTGGATGTCCCCTAACTCAGCTTAAAGCACCATGAGTGAACTTTGGAGATGATAGCCCCACTGCAAGATGAACTGTGAGCTACAGTCAATACAGAGCTTTCCCACTTTACTTGTATTTTACAAAGATTCCAATGATGATTTCTTAGATGACAACATGGATTACTGAATTATAGAATCACAATAGTCATTGTCTTCTATTGGGCATTTTTTCATATGCTTGAATTTATATTCAGTTATTTTCCTTTGCAACTTCCTGATGCTTATGTCCAGAGCCTTCCACAAATGAGATGTGATGTTATTTGTGTGTGAAACTTAAGCTTAAGGGTGAATTTCTAGAATCGGCTATTTCTGGAATTTATAGATAATACATGACCCAAATCTGCAAGTACAGCAAGAGGGCAGGAATCTGAGAGCCCACAAGACCCTGACAAATGGCATTTCCTAGCACAAAAAGGAGAAAAAATAAAACAAAATCCAAAGAATATCAAAGCAAGAGTAAGCTACTTTGAATTTCAGGCTTCCAAGTGCCTCACATGAGCTTGCTTCCTCCTTGTACCAAAGTATTTTGATCCTGATCCCACAAACCTTCTGAACTTCCACCAACTTCACTCTTGGATTAGATCTCGACAGTGACTTCTGGAAAAGATATTCTGGAAATTGCTTACCCTGCTCTTAAGACATTCAAAATCTAACCAAGCTGGCAACTGAAACTGTCATAGGAACACGCAGAAGATGAACACACATCCACACAGCTGGGTAAAAAGAATGAACATCTTGTCAATTAGGCTGATCTCAGAACTGAGCCCTGAACATCTGGTTGCACTTTGTCTCAGGAGTTTGGAAGCTCTCCTCAAGATTCTACCCCAGCACAACCCCACAGGGCCCTGCTGCTCATGTGCCTGACATTGCTACAGCTGTGACTGCCAGTCTCTCCAAGCCACGAGCTGCTCAGCATTGCTGCATGCTGGGAGTGGGCAGTGCACATAATGCCTCATGCCAGCAGACTTTAACTCAGTCTACTTGCCTTGCAGGGAGAGATTAGTGAGGTATCACGCTGCATCACTGCCACTTGTCCCAACCTCTGGCTCGCTTGCTCCCAAGCTCCTCCTTTCAGGACCTTAAACCAGCCCGAAACCTTCTGGAGTACAAATAATTCAGAAAAACTAGAGGTTTTCTTGATACAAAGAAGGGGCAAAGCAACTCAGAAAGCAGAGCATTTAGCCCATTCTTTGCTCTCTGCAGCTCATTTGTTTCCAATGCTCTTCCTTACCAGTTTCAGTGAAATGCAGCACCTCTCAAGCTGATGAACAATTGTGCTTTTCAGTGTATTTGAGTGGGACAGACAAGAGCTATCAGCCAGTGGCTGCGCACAAACACGCACCAAGAGGTGTCAGCATGGTGCTGGGGGCACAAGGGTGACCTTACCTGAGAGGACAAGAGTTCACCTTGTGTGACTCACAGAGTGCTGGGCCAGGTGCTTGAGGAGCCACAGATGCAGAACCCAATGTCTTGTGAGGCTCCCACCTTGCAAAGCCCATGCATCTTTGTATATACTCTCATTTTGAAGAAAGAAAGAAAATCACTGCTTCTTTAAATAGCACCAGAGCAAGTTCTCTGATGAAAGCTACCACGATAGATCAGTAGTGTGACTTTCAAAGGAGTAAAATATTTTATTTGTATTGGATTTGTACACAGATACGATGTCTTTGAAAGTGTTTCAGTGTATCAGAGAGGTGAAAAAGCCTGAATGCCACTGAATCCTACTGTAGTGTTATGACATGCCTAAGCCACATGAAATACCATGTTTTTTTAATTACAATTCATCATGTGGTATTCTAAGGAGAAGAAAATATGATGATTAACTTGGGAAAGAAGCTGCCTTTGGAGCTCCTCAGTGTTTAAGGAGGAAAATACAGGAGAAATTAAGGTTAATATCTGTGGTACAGTAGTAAGCAAATAGCAGAGACTGTGGAGCCATGAGCTGCAGGAACCACAGAGCCATAGGGCTGCAGAACACAGAGCTGCTCTATAGGGAGGAAAAGTCCATATGAGAGCAAAGGTGCAAGATGATACATGGGAGGCAAAAGGAAATCTGTGACACACAGCTTGTAAATTTGGGACACGCACATTATCTCGCAGAAACTTTTACTGAACACACCACCAGATATCAGTCCCACACCATGAGCTCTGCATGCCAGGAAACTGCCATAAAAGTCTGCTCAAGGTGACTTTAGCTGATATGGGATCATTAGAGAAAACGAACATGTGTTCAGGTCTACTAATGCAAGAGGCCTGTTATCAATTGTTCTTCAGAAGGATTTCACCCACCAAATATTTTGCTAGACGTCTGATTTGCCTGCGAGCTGTAAAGCTTCTGGAATCAGACTTTAATCACATTCCTGTCCAGCATATGAGGCCAAAGCAATGCTGCTTGACCTTGTAGTCGAACAGGGTCGACAGGGGCCCCTCGGCCCCTGGGAAACCATGGCAACAAATGGCCTGAAGATAAGGGAGAAGAACAAGATAGACCAAATAAGGAAGAAACAAGGCATTCCACATGTTCATTGGTCAGGTAGTAGCCCTAAGGCAATCCACCCTCGAGTAGTTGCTAGTAGTAACCAGATAAGGAAGTTGTAACACAAGTGCTTACGCAAAGTTAGAGGGGCGTAGACGAAGATGTACAAGGCTATATAAGTTCCTGTCGCGATCAAATAAACGCCATTTTACCACCCACCACATTGGTGTGCACCGAGGTAGATGGACAGACCGTTGAGTCCCTAACGATTGCGAACACCTGTATGAGGTCTTTCGCAGGCGGAAGGCTTCATTTGGTGACCCCGACGTGATCGTTAGGGAATAGTGGTCGGCCACAGGCGGCGTGGCGATCCTGCTCTCATCCGTCTCCCGTGGGGAAGGAGGCGATGACCCTAGAAGAGGGGGCTGCGGCTTAGGAGAGTGGAAGCTGGGTAGCGTCGGAGGGGGCTCTACGGCCGGGAGCCTGCTTAACCTGCCGAGGACCCAGGAAACCATCGGAAGAGAAGCCCGGTGGCTGCTTGATCCGCGGGAGAGAGAATGCCCGGCGGAGTGAACATGGATGCCGTCATAAAGGTGATTTCGTCCGCGTGTAAGACCTATTGCGGGAAAACTTCTCCTTCTAAGAAGGAAATAGGGGCAATGTTGTCCCTTTTACAAAAGGAGGGACTGCTTACATCTCCCTCAGATTTGTATTCCCCGGGGTCCTGGGATCCCATCACCGCAGCGCTTTCCCAGCGGGCGATGGTACTCGGGAAGTCAGGAGAGTTGAAAACCTGGGGACTGGTCTTGGGGGCGCTGAAGGCAGCACGAGAGGAACAGGTTACATCTGAACAAGCGAAGTTTTGGTTGGGCTTGGGGGGAGGGAAGGTCTCTCCCACATGTCCCACAGGAAAGCCAACTACTGAGCCTCAGGTCGATGAGGAGAAAGAGAAAATGGCTGCGCAGCAAGAAACGAAGATGGTGCCGGGAGAGGCGACCGCGGCAAAAACCGTTGAGGCGACCGCGCCTAAAACCGTTGGCACATCCTGTTGTCGTTGCAGAACAGATGCTGGCTGCAGTTGCGCCACTGCTGCCCCCTCAGCCCCTCCTCCTTATGTGGGGAGTGGCCTGTATCCTTCTCTGGAGGGGTTGGGAGGGCCGGAGGGGGAGAGTGTAGCCACGTCACCGGTGGGGCGGGACGGTCCGCCCCGAGGGGTGGAACGAAGGGCGGAGCCAGGGTGCCCTGACTCGGCCCCTGGGCCAGCCTTGACTGATTGGGCAAGGATTAGGGAGGAGCTTACAATGGCGGGCCCGCCCGTGGTGGCCATGCCCGTGGTGATAAAAACAGAGGGACCGGCTTGGACTCCTCTGGAGCCAAAATTGATTACGCGATTGGCCGACACGGTCAGGACCAAAGGCTTACGATCTCCAATCACTATGGCAGAAGTGGAAGCTCTTATGTCTTCCCCGCTGCTGCCGCATGACGTCACGAATCTTATGAGGGTCATACTAGCCCCCGCCCAATATGCCCTGTGGTCGGACGCTTGGGACGTCCAGCTACAGACGGTTATAGCGGCGGCTACCCGAGACCCTCGACATCCAGCGAATGGTCAGGGGCGGGGGGAACGAACTAACTTGGATCGCTTAAAGGGCCTAGCGGAGGGAATGGCCGGGAATCCTGAGGGCCAGGCTGCGCTTTTGAGACCGGGGGAGTTGGTTGCTATCACGGCGTCGGCTCTCCAGGCGCTCAGAGAAGTCGCCCGGTTAGCGGAGCCTACAGACCCTTGGGCAGACATCACACAGGGGCCATCGGAGTCCTTTGTGGATTTTGCCAATCGCCTTATAAAGGCGGTTGAGGGGTCGGATCTTCCATCTTCGGCACGAGCCCCCGTGATTATTGACTGCTTTAGACAGAAGTCACACCCAGATGTCCAACAGCTTATACGAGCAGCGCCCTCCACATTAACGACACCAGGAGAGATAATTAAATATGTTTTAGACAGACAGAAGGTTACCCCCCTCACGGACCAGGGAATAGCGGCGGCCATGTCGTCGGCCATCCAACCCTTAGTCATGGCGGTAATTAACAAACAAGGAGAGGGTGGGCAGAGTGGATCGGGTGGTCGCGCCCGGGGGCTTTGCTATTCCTGCGGATCCCCGGGGCACTACCAGGCGCAATGTCCTAAAAGAAGGAGATCAGGGGGTAACCATGATTGATGCCAGCTATGCGGCGGGTCAGGGCACACCGCCAAACAATGTCGAAGAGTTCAGCCTCCCTCACGGGATGAAGGCTTAACTCAGGGCCGTCGGTCGGGAGAGAGATCCCTTTCAGGATCATGGCCTTTATCTGCTCAGCCCACAGTGTCATTGGCAATGACCATGGAGCACAAGGATCGCCCCCTGGTCAGGGTTATAATGACTAACACGGGCAGTCACCCAGTGAAGCAACGCACGGTTTATATCACTGCGTTGCTGGATTCTGGGGCTGATGTTACCATCATCTCAGAAGAGGATTGGCCCACTGACTGGCCATTGATGGAAGTTGCGAGTACACAAGTTTATGGGATAGGAGGGGGAATCCCTATGCGGAAATCCCGAGAAATGATTGAAGTAGGGGTCATAAATCGAGATGGTTCTTTGGAGCGGCCTTTGCTTCTCTTCCCGGCGGTAGCTCTGGTCAAAGGGAGCATCCTAGGGAGAGATTGTTTGCAGGGCCTAGGGCTCCGCTTGACAAATTTATAAAAGGGGCCACTGTTCTCACTGTAGCGCTACATCTGGCTATTCCATTGAAATGGAAGCCAGACCACACTCCTGTGTGGATTGATCAGTGGCCCCTCCCCGAAGTTAAACTTGTAGCGCTGATACATTTGGTTGAAAGGGAATTACAATTAGGACATATAGAACCTTCGCTTAGCTGCTGGAATACACCTGTCTTTGTGATCCGGAAGGCCTCTGGATCCTATCGTTTGTTGCATGACTTGCGCGCTGTTAACGCTAAACTCATCCCTTTCGGGGCAGTCCAGCAGGGGGCGCCAGTTCTTTCGGCGCTCCCGCGTGGCTGGCCTCTGATGGTCCTAGACCTCAAAGATTGTTTCTTCTCTATTCCCCTCGCGGAGCAGGACCGTGAGGCCTTTGCGTTCACCCTTCCCTCTGTCAATAACCAGGCTCCTGCGCGTAGATTCCAATGGAAGGTCTTGCCTCAAGGGATGGCATGTTCTCCCACCATTTGTCAGTTGGTTGTGGGGCGGGTACTGGAACCCCTTCGGCGTAGGCACCCATCCTTGTGCATGCTGCACTATATGGATGACCTCCTGCTAGCTGCTTCCGATCGCGAGAAGTTGGAAATGGCCGGAAAGGAGATTATAAGCGTGCTAGAAGGGGCGGGGTTTACCATCTCGCCAGATAAGATCCAGAGAGAACCTGGCGTGGAGTACCTTGGCTATCGGTTAGGAAGTACCTATGTAACTCCAGCGGGCCTACTAGCAGAACCGAAGATCTCCACCTTGTGGGATGTTCAGAAACTGGTGGGATCCCTCCAGTGGATCCGACCAGCGTTAGGGATCCCACCACGACTGATGAGCCCCTTTTACGAACAGTTGAAAGGGTCCGATCCGAATGAGGAGAGAGAGTGGAACCTGGACATGAGATTAGCATGGAGTGAGATTGTACAACTCGGCACTACTGCTGCCTTGGAGCGCTGGGACCCTACCCTGCCTCTAGAGGGAGCAGTTTCTCGATGTGAACAAGGGGCGGTAGGGGTCCTAGGGCAGGGGTTGTCGACGCACCCAAAACCATGCTTGTGGGTGTTCTCCACCCAACCCACTAGAGCGTTCACCGCTTGGCTGGAGGTGCTTGCTCTCTTGATCGCCAAGCTTCGCGCCTCGGCTGTGAGAACCTTCGGTAAGGATGTTGAGACCCTTCTGTTGCCCGCGTGTTTCCGAGAAGATCTTCCGTTCCCAGAGGGGATCTTGTTGGCCCTTAGGGGATTTGCGGGTAAAATAAGGAGTGGCGATTCGCCACCTATTTTTGATATCGCGCGACCGTTGTGCGTCTCCCTGAAGGTGAGAGTTACTGATTGCCCTGTGATAGGGCCCACGGTTTTTACCGACGCCTCCTCAAGTACCCATAAAGGGGTGATGGTCTGGAGGGAAGGCCCTGAGTGGCAAGTAAAAGAGACTGTTGATCCGGAGGCAAGTGTACAACAGTTAGAGGCCCGTGCCGTAGCCATGGCGCTTCTGTTGTGGCCGACGACGCCCACCAATGTAGTAACTGACTCCGCGTTTGTTGCGAAAATGTTACTCAAGATGGGGCAAGAGGGGGTTCCGTCTACGACGGCTGCCTTTATCCTAGAGGATGCGCTGAGCCAAAGGACAGCTATGGTCGCAGTCCTCCATGTGCGCAGTCACTCTGATGTACCGGGGTTTTTTACAGAGGGAAATACCGTGGCGGACACTCAGGCCATCCTCCGGGCATACCCACTAAGGGAAGCCAAAGACCTCCATACGGCCTTCCACATCGGGCCTCGTGCGTTGTCTAAGGCATGTAACATATCTATGCAACAGGCTCGGGAAGTTATTCAGGCTTGCCCTTATTGCAATTCGGCCCCTGCGCTGGAGGCCGGGGTAAACCCTAGAGGTCTGGGGCCCTTACAGATATGGCAGACAGACTTTACGCTCGAGCCTAGAATGGCAGCGCGCTCTTGGCTAGCTGTTACCGTGGACACTGCTTCGTCAGTAGTGGTAGCGACCCAACACGGTCGTGTCACGTCAGCAGCGGCGCAGCATCATTGGGCCACGGCCATTGCCGCGTTAGGAAAGCCCAAAGCAATCAAAACAGATAATGGGTCGTGCTTCACCTCCAAGTCTACGCGGGAATGGCTTACGAGGTGGGGAATAACGCATACGACAGGGATACCTGGGAACTCCCAGGGTCAGGCCATGGTGGAGCGAGCTAACCGACTCTTGAAGGACAAAATCCGTGTGCTTGCGGAAGGGGATGGCTTTATGAGAAGGATTCCAACGAATAAGCAGGGAGAAATACTAGCAAAAGCATTGTATGCGTTAAATCACTTTGAGCGAGGTGAGAATGCCAGAACCCCGATGCAGAAACACTGGAAGCCAACCATCCTTACAGAAGGGCCACCGGTCAAAATACGTACAGAAGCGGGTGAGTGGGAAAAGGGATGGAACGTTTTGGTCTGGGGCCGGGGTTACGCAGCGGCTAAGAATGGTGAGACGGATAAAATTATCTGGATTCCCTCCAGAAAGGTCAAACCGGACCTAAGTCGCGAAAGTAATGTGACTGGAAAAGATGAGGCGAGCTCTCCCTTTGCAGGCATTTCTAACTGGATACCCTGGGGAAACGAGCAAGAAAGACCTGAAGAAGAGGCCGTCGGAGACAAGCAAGAAAGATCCGGAGAAGACACCCTTGCTGCCGACGAGAATTAATGGAATTACAGTGTTTGTCTGTTTATTAATCCTATGTGGGGTCACGGGGACGGGCGCTGACACACACTTCATGCCACAGCCAGGGAATTTGTGGGTTACTTGGGCAAATAAGACGGGCCAAAATGACTTTTGCCTTAGTTTACAATCGGCAACATCGCCTTTTCGCACCTGCCTGGTAGGTATCCCTCAATACACGTTAGAAGCCTTTGCGAGGTACACCACAAACCATTCCGCTTGCCGTAACGACATCGATCTAGCAAACCAAACGGCATGTTTGATAAAATCTCTGAATGTGTCTCTCCCATGGGATCCACAAGAATTAGATATCTTGGGGTCACAGAAGGTACGGAATGGGTCGCATAATGGCACACGTACCTGTATTACCTTTGGGTCAGCGTGCTGGAAGGAAGGTGACTTTTTGACCTGCGACTTGTTTGACGGGGTATTCAACGGCTCTGAGGGATTGAAAGGACAACTGCAGGCCTTAATTGCCCAGTGGGTAGGCACAGATCCACGACTGGAGCCATACAACGAAACCTCTTGGACTGTGGTCAGTCCTATGAACACGAAGGCTTTTTCCATTACTTCGGGTTATTGCGGGTATACCAAAAATGAAACACGGGTCTTCACAAAGTACAATACGACCTGTTTGTCAAAGGGTGGGGTCCTTTCTGGCAATGTCCTTTCTGGCAATGAATCCCTATTTAATTGTACGGCAGTTTGGGACTTTTATGGGTATGGGTTCACTTTCAAAAAGGGGGCCAATGAGGCGCTATGGAATAACAAAACGGCTAAGGCATTACCCCCTGGAATCTTCTTGATCTGTGGGGATAGAGCCTGGCAGGGCATCCCGCACAATGCCTTAGGAGGACCCTGTTACCTAGGGGAACTGACGTTACTGTCTCCGAATTTCACGACATGGATGCAGTATGGCCCGAACATCACGGGTCACTATCGTTGCCGAAAGCGTTCGAGCCCTCTCCCGGAGAATTGTAACGACGAGATAGAGTTATGGAGTGCCACAGCACGGATATTCGCATCATTTTTCGCCCCTGGGGTTGCTGCAGCACAGAGCTTGGCTCAGATAGAACGCCTAGCATGTTGGTCAGTTAAGCAGGCAAATTTAACAACATTAATATTGAATGCGATGCTAGAGGACACAAACAGCATTCGACATGCGGTGCTGCAAAACAGAGCAGCCATCGACTTCTTGCTCTTGGCACAGGGGCATGGATGTGAAGACCTAGAGGGAATGTGTTGCTTCAATCTTAGCGACCACAGTGTATCCATCCATAAAGCGCTGAAAGCCCTGCGAGACCATACGGGAAGATCCGAGTGGAGGACGACCCCATCGGGGACTGGCTGAGAAGTGTGTTCGGAGGCATAAGGGAATGGGGTGTGCATTTATTGAAGGGTTTGCTTTTGGGGCTTGTAGTTATCTTGCTCTTGATAGTATGTGTGCCTTGCCTGACCCACCTGGACACGTTGCAGGTTGATGATAGACCAACTATGGGTTTTGTGAGGTCTGCAATAAACACAGGGCACCTCAACTTTCACTGCTTTCCTGAATACGCAGTGGGACAGGCAGGTTGCCAGTTATGGTACCCATAGTTTTACATATAGAACAGCTCAACAAAACAGTGGTTTATGAAATGAGGTAAGTAACAAAAAGAGTTTAGCTGATGGATCAGGAGGACCAAGGCTGAGTTTGCACATACCATGTTGCTGAACCATACATACATCCTGGAGAATAGCGTAGAATGAGATTCCCCACATCTGTGAAGGAGGCTCGGACTTCTTCATGCAAAACAGGCAGAAAAACTCCTGGCAGGAGTTCAGCCTAAGGAGACTGATAGCAACACATCTAGCAGCTGATTAAAGGAACAACCAGAGCCACCTCCCTATGCATCATCTGCCCCACACTGAACAGAGGGGTCCTGTGGGGCCTGCCGGGATCCATTGGTCTGCTTGAGCTGGGGAGGAAAAGTCCACATGTGTAGAGCAGGGGTTTGAAATCCATCCTCAGCTCCAAGACCTGCATGTAGAGAGCTAAGTACTCACTACACACGTTCCAGTATGTAATAACTTAAGAGAAAGCAAACAAGGAAAAGATAGAGCAGGATAAAATGAAAGAGAAAGAAGGAAGAGGCTGCTAGGCAGCAACTATACTTCAGCTACGTTTCCTAAAGCTTTGTGTTGCACAATAAATACTGATTTTCTTCACTAAAAATGCTTGGACACTGACATTTCAATAGGTGTATTTCATCTTCCTGTTTTCAGTAGGTTTAACTAGTGAAATGATGTAATGGGACAGAAAGTACTGCAATAATAACAGGGTGGCAAAGTCTTCAGCTACAGCAAATGAAGACAAGCCCAAATACTACGGCTACAGATGCAAAAACAAAGGGAAAAAAAAGCTGCTTACCTTCAGAAAGCCCCACATAAGCAGGAATCTCCAGCAAGAGAAACATTCAGCTCCACCACCAACCCTTAAATGAGGTCTGGGAAGGGGTGAATCCTGGCTCCAGCCCTTCTGGTCATTGCACTGCATTGCATGCACCTGAGCTGCCCTGGGTTGGCCCTGCCTTCCACCAGGTGCTCCACCACTGCTTCAACCCAACTTTATGAAACGGTTTGTTTGTTTGTTTCCTAGAAGTCCAGTTAAACAAACGTTTCCAACATTTCCCTAGCTTTGGTCATGGTTGTCCCCCAGGTACTTTGTTCATTAACGAGTTAAATGAAGTTGATTACCAGAATGCTTCTGTGCTTGGACCACTGATATTTTTGTTCCCTTTGCAGAGAAAGTAAAAAAAACAAGACTTACTTTTTTTTTGGTCCAAAGATGAACACTGTGTGAGTCAAAAGTTTTCCTTTATCCACACACCAACTTGTACTGCTGAAGCACAGCAGATGCTCTCTTGTTTCCCTATGAAGCACCACACGTTTGCCACAGCAGGAGAAGGATTTCAGGCTGGTGCCCTAGCTGCTATGCTGTGTTCTGGAATAGAAATCAAGATAGTGAGCAAAGCCTTACATGGGGATGCATGACCCAAATATGCCCAGCAGCTGGCCTTGCTCACTGCCCATGCTGTTGTTACAGTCGATACAAGGGGAATGAGATTAGCCACTAACTTTCCTGTTTTCTCTGGAGCATTTTAATTCAAAACTTCTAAATTAACACATAGATGCGATTTTTGCAGTTTACACATGGGTCTTACTTGTGATTCTCTTTAACATCTATATTCAGCTGTGAGCAAAGTCAATTTTTGTCTACGGCTGATAATATTGCACAACTCCGTATTCAGAACTGCTAGAGATAATGGATACTCAGTGGGGCACTTCTAAAAGTGTTACTGGTGCGAATAGCACAATCTGGGCAGTTCAGAGCTCAGCAGCAATTGCTGTTTCCAGGGCTGAGGTTTGAATCACAGACACAGTAGTGGCCAGTCACAAAGAGAAGCCAAAGGGGTCACCAGCCAAGGGACATGGGATAAGAGGAGGGACACATCAGCGTGAGTGCTTGGCCAGAGCTGAGCCAGGAGTTTTGGTGGCCTGGGGCCAGTGCTGTGAGGTCTGCAGTGCCACTGCCATGCACAAGGAGAAGGTGCAAGTGATACACCATAGGAATTGTGATGTGTTCTCTGAAACTAAATGTAAAACTTTTTCATCAACCCAGAGCAGTAGATATGACTGAATGGGGTCGGGGGAAAGGCTGGCTTTTCTTGCACAGCAATCAAGTTCAGATTTCTCATAAAGCTAAAGGCAAAAGCCTTTAAAATGCTTGCAAACATCAAGATTGCACACCAAGTTATACTGCTGCATTTTTTAATTTGTAATTTTCTCTGGTTTTTCTACAATTTACACTCATTAAGGAGGAGAGCTGACCATATCACAAGGGCAAGGGCAGAAGAACTTCTCCCCAAGATCTCAGAGCAGTGCAGGTGAGCAGCGGGCCTGTGCTCTGGGAACATCTCAGTGACAAAGGAAACCCAGAGAGGTGTCTGCACACACAGCAATGTGAGCCCCTAGGAGCAGGCTGCCAGGAGGCCAAGAGGATCTCGGTCTGGTTTCTCCCAGTCAGGAGCACGGATGGAGCTCAGGGATGAGCTGCTGTAACTGTAATTCATACCCAATCAGAGTGAAAATGTTACTGCAATTAAGCAATGAGTAAACATACTCATAAAGCAGAGTTGTGACTTCCAAAGTCATAACCTGCGGCAAACCCTGTGCTTTGTTAACAGCATTCCAATAATTGGGAAGACACAGATTGCCTCCTTCTGGGCATGGGAAGGTAACAGCAGGACCTCAGCTCTCCTGCACTGAGCCTTGCAGGGCACCTTGGCTCAAGAAACGTAAAAATCCCACAGAGGAATGCAAACACCACTCTGTCCGAGCACAATTACAAACAATTAAACACAGGGTAACTTCAAAAACAGAAAAAATAATAATAATAATAAAAGAAAGAAAAACAGCACAACCTTTTTATTTAGACAAACACAAGAGATAGATAGGATTAATGAGCTTTTTGGTTGGAGAGCCAACGCGTACTTGAAAGCATCGTGATGTGACCGAGGGGATGCACATGGGTTGTAATGATTTGTGAAGCCGCACGAGGCGGATTTATTTTAAACCAATGACTTCCCAGCATTCAAGGAGGGAGCAGCCCCCAGCTAAAGTCCCTTTTCATTCCGATGCTCATAACAATGAAGATGAAATACGATTTTCCCTTCTAAGAAATGCTTCAGAAGGCAAAAACAAAAAAAAACCAAAAGAGCACCAAAACGCATTTTTTTCTCTGGTACAGAAAATAGGTCTCTGCATGCAGGAAATTCTGTGTTTGCCTTATTTTCTACCACAAATGCCCCATTTTTAAAGAAATGAATACTGCAATCATTTCCTCTGATTTACATTTTCAACTGTGCCTCATTTGGCACTGTTGTTCCAAGAACAACCGTTCTCTGCAAAAGGAATGATCTTTGGACAACTCATCTCAAACCTTTGAAGTCAATGGGGATGGAGTGAAATGCAAGACAGAGGGGCGATGCATATTAGCAGCAATCAAATACTTTCCCACTGCCCGAGCAGACTCTGCACATCGCCTGATGGCACAGAAGAGAGAACTCTTAGCAGGTAACCAAGCTTGCAGGTTTGGGATCTGAAATCTGATATAAATGAGTCATGCACCAGTCCCCGGAGCAGCAAAAGTCGTGGACGTCTCTGTGTGTGAGCATCCCTGGAAATCGGACCAGCTGAGTGTGGTCAGCAGCACCAGGACAGCAGCAGTGGGAACAAAGTGTGGCAGCTCCGAGCTCCCCGGGGCTGAGGCGTGTGCTGGCAAGCCAGGTGGCAACGAGGAACGTTGGAAAGAGAAACTTGGAGAAGAATTAAGAGTCAGGCGTGTGTACAGAGGGTTACTCTCTCCATCTCCAAAGCCTATAATTACGTATCAAACGTGCTAATAAAATCCTGTGGTTACAGCATGTGGGTATTTTGTCTCTTTGTCGAAGCGAGCCGGAGGAGAAAAACCCGATTCCTCACCCTCGGGAGCGCTGGGACAGACCCGGGGTGGGCTCTCAGAGGTGCGGGGCGTAGAAGGGCCCGAGGTACGCGGGCCCCAAGAAGGGAGCGAAGGGTCCGCCGCCGGGGCCGCCCAGGGGGAAGGGAGAGGCGGCCGGGAAGAGAGCGCTGGCGGCAGCGTACGAGGGGAAAGTCTGGCCGGGCAGCGCTGCGGGGCGCGGCGGGCTGGGGGAGCAGCGGGCGGCGGCGGGGGGAGCGGAGGCGGCCGCTCCGTCGGCTCCGGGATGCTGCTTCTTCCACTTGGTGCGACGGTTCTGGAACCAGATTTTCACCTGCGTCTCGGTGAGGCTGAGGGAGAGCGCCAGGTTGAGGCGTTCGCACACAGACAGGTAGCGGGTGGCGCGGAATTTGTTCTCCAAAGCCACCAGCTGCTCGTAGGTGAAAGCCGTCCGCGCTCGCCGCGGTTTGGCGCAGCTCGCCTCGGCCCGACGCCGTCGGCCGCCTCGCGGCGAGCCCGGCTCCTCCGGCCCCGTGGCTGCGGAGCACGAAGAGGAGCCGGCGCCGGCCGCTGGCTGCCCCTCCTCGACCGCTGCCTCCGCGCCGCTCTCCGCCGGGGTGCGCGCATCTATGGGAGAGGGCGGCAGGGTCAGGGGGGCACTGCGGAGCCGCTCCGAGCCCCCCCCCTCGGCCCCACGCTGCTAGGAGCCGTTCCCTCCGCGTCCCTCCCCGGGCCGAGATTTAACGGTCGTTAAATAAAAGGAGAAAAAAATCCGGCCGGCAACCCCAGCCACGGCGGCTCATTTACAGGGAGGTGTGGATATGGATTTCTTACCAATTAAAAAAGAAGTTATTAAAGTCCCCTTCTGAAGCGAAATAAATCCCCTCCCCCCACCTCCCCATCTCCGTGCTAATGGAGTTTCAGATTTGCGAGGGCCGGATCGATAGATGTCATCTATTAAAGGTAAGTTTTAATCGAACAATATTAGGATCAGGCCGGGGGAAGGAGGTTTGAAGTGGGTACCTGCAAGCTGTGGGCAGGAGATAGGCGGGAGTCAGTAATAGGATATCGATCAATGGGAGCTAAGGCATCCTCCAGTGGGGACGGGCTGAGCAATTACCCAGCCGGCTGTCCCGGGTGCGGGGGGGGGGCAGTCGGCGGACAGCGAGAGTAGATCGGCATCGGGACCGGGACCCCCTCCCTGCCCGGGGAAGGGTGGCCCAGGGACGCTTCCATTTGGGGCCTGGCGACGTCGTGGTGCGCGCGGGGCGCAGCCGGAGGATTGCCCGGGGGGGGGACTTTTCTATCTTCGAGACTCGAAAGGGGCTGCATCCCCCTCTCCCCCCGCCTCGCCTCCCTCCCGACGGACGGCGGTCCGCAGCCCGACCCCCCCGCAGCTGTCCGGACTCGGGGGATGCTCCCCGGCTGCCGGCACCTGCTCGCCCCGCCAGCGCCGAACAGAGAAACTCGAACGCGTTCCTACCATCCGCCTCTAGTTTATTCCTCTCGCTCTCGTGCTGAGCAGCGCCTTTTCCTACTTCAACTCTCGCCAAACTTTTTTCCTGCTCTCCCGAGCGGCAGGCGCTGCCCCCGCTCCCCGCGGCCGTTTCGCTTCTCCGGGTGAATTTCTGAGGATCCAGGATGTCTAGGATGGAGAAGGAGATCTTATGCTGCTGGACGGGGGCCGCCTTGGCCCCACCGTCCGGGCATTCCAGCATCCCCCGCTCCGCGCTGCCGGAGAGCCGCGGGTGCCAGCGCGGGGCCAGGGCCGGGCGGAGGGCAGCGCTGCCGCGGAGCCTCCGCCGCCGCCGCCTCCTCGCGGAACCTCCGCCTGGGCGCTGGAGACGCGGAGTGAGCGGCGGGGAGGAGGAGAGCGGGCGGCGGGGTGGGGGTAGAGGAGGGGGCAGAGCAGCCATTGGCACGCGGCCCCGCGCCCTCCCCGCGCTCCGCTCCGCGGGGGCGCAGCCGGCGCCGCCCCCCACCATCATCGCCTCCCCGCGGTGCGGCCCGGGGGGATCCACGCGTGGTTGCTCCCGGGTGAACCCTGTGATGAGGAGAGCAGGGGCTCGGTGCGCTGCCTCTGCCCAGCGGCCTTTGTTTTGGGTGTAAAATTGAGCTTTGGTCCTTAATGAGCATCTTCGCAAATTAGCATCTTCTCGTTTTCGGTTGGTTTGAGGTCAGCTCAAGGTCTGGGTAGTTCAAGGGCTGGCCCTGACTCCTGGAGTTCAGCCTTGGCGTGTGCATCGGCCCCATTTCACAGGTAGGGGTGATTGATTGAAATTGAGGTACAGCCATGCTGGACGCCTGCCCCCCTGAGCAGCCCTTGACTGAGAACTGTCACCTGGCATGGAAGTGCCCCATCACCTCTTATCCTTATAGCAGAGGTAAGATGAGCAACAGCAAGTCAAGTCTCTCCACCCTGCCCCACTCTTATGACCTTTATTTAAAACTTCCTAGCAACGTACTGCTGTCCTGCAGATTTTGAGGAGGATGCTGTCCCCTCCCCTTAGTAGTTCTGCGTTTTGTTGGTGCTGCACATCAGGGTGAGGTGTAGACAAAGACTTTATGCAGCAGGAAAGGGAGTGCTCCCACTCTCTGCCTGTCTGTGGGAATCTGACTAGGCAAAAATAACGCGCTGCTCGATGGTAACAGGTGCTGCAGAATAGGAATAAAGATGATAGAGTTGGGATTTCTTTTTGTTGTTGCAAAGGCATGGGTCTTGAGATAATAAGGAGCTGGAAGATGAGATAAAGATGTGCAGGGAGACATGATTACAAGTAATTTCTTTAGTCAATTATGTGGTGGCAGTACCTGAGAGAGTGTTTGACACTGGGCTCTGGTATGGGATACCATACACACTCAGAAGAGAAGTTACCTCTGTCCTGGACAGTTCATGCACTGAAGCTGCAGACCAAAGAAGCTTAGTTTCATGGATGCATCCTGCATAAAAATGACCCTAGGGTTGAGGTGGAAAGCATTCTCCTGGGTGCTGCTCAGTGCTTCTCATGTGTCGAAGTGATAAAGTTGCCTGAGGTGCAAAAGGAAAGGGAAAAGTTCCCCATTTCTGGGTAGTGTAGGTCCAGGGTGAGGTCAAATAATGGAACTGAATATGAAATATTCTTGCATATCCTCTAAGTATGGTTTTGAACAAGATTCTTTTTGTTTGTCACCAGTATCAAAGTACCCCAGAAAAACCACAGGTATGATGATCTGGTAGATAGATGTATTGCTCACTGTATTTTAAGGATCATAGAATCACAAAATGGCCTGGGTTGAAAAGGACCACAATGCTCATCCAGTTCCAACCCCCTGCTATGTGCAGGGTCACCAACCACCAGACCAGGCTGCCCGGAGCCACATCCAGCCTGGCCTTGAATGCCTGCAGGGATGGGGCATCCTGTCACCCTTTGCAGCACTGGAGATGTTTCATTTTTGGAAGGAAAAAAAATTGACCAGATTTATGGTGAGAATATAAATATTTCTGAGTTATTGCAACTGCAGAAGCTTAAAAGGTAAATTGTAGTGCTGGGATTAATTTGTGGGCAAGCAGACATCTTCAAATATGATCAGGTTAGCACGTGCATGGAGGCTGACCTACAAATAGACATGCCCATGGAAGGCACACACAAAAAGCACGCATTCATGGATTGGTTTTAGCAGTCTGTTTGAAGTTGGTTTGCTTTCCAGCCCAAGCATTAAAATTCAGCCTGAGTGCTGTCTTTAAATTGCTTTGATGCTGGGTGGGTTTCAACCCTGACCTGTCCTGTCGGCAGTGATGGCTGTAACAAGCTGCGGATCAATATTCATAGCGGGTGTCCTGGGCTGATAACACTATCCGAGACAATGTTCGCTATCAGCGTAGACAGCTGAGATATTGCGCCATTAGTGATGTTGTTTTAAATAACCTGATCCATTTCTGGGTCTATTTAGTGAATTTCACAGTTTAGATAATATCTTTAAGGAGAAGCCAAAGGCTGTTCCAGACGCGGCGATGCAAATCAATGCTGCTAAGGCTCCTCTGCTTTCCTTAAAACAAAGTGGACTGTGGTTCCAGCGCAGCTTGTGATGCGTTCTGTGAGCCACAGTCTGCTATCGATAATATTAGCAATAAGGCAGCATTTCGACAACATCGAGGGAGAAACAGAGCTATCTGCAACACTGCTGATAAAATCTTGTCTGACTGTAAAAAAGAGGGGACCTGTTCAGTTTTTTTACATGACGAGGCAGTTATTTCTCTTGGAGCACATGTGAGGAGGTGCCACAGAGGCGATGTTTGGGACAGGCAAGGCCACGCATCCATCACTGGGCTGGAGAGGGTCCCTTGGGCCAGCACAGCCATCCCCATCACAGAGGGTCCCTGCGATCCAGGTCCACGCTCCTATTTGCATGGATGTTCCGAGACGTCTGGGGAGCCCATGGCCAGCAGAGCGAACTTTCTGTATTGCACCCAACCTATCGGGTTCTGTGCCTCTGTGCTCACGTGTGAGGAGGAACTGCATGAGGGGGGTAAGCAGAGCGGGTCAGCAGGCAGACCCATAGCAGAGCCCAGGCCGCTCTCCTGACAGCGTGAGACACTCAGAGCTGACAGAAGCAGCGCAACTCAGAGAAAACGACACTCTTCCCTGCTGTTTGTAACATCCATCCCCCGCTCCCTTCAGGCCGCCTCGCCGCGCTCAGACTCCATTTCCCGACAGCCCCCGGGGCAGCGAGGCGGTACCGACATGGCGGCCTGGGCACGGGCGGTGCGGGGGCTGTTGCTGGATATCAGCGGGGTGCTGTACGACAGCGGCGGGGAGGGCGGCGGGGTGCCCATCGCCGGCTCGGCCGAGGCCGTGCGGAGGTACGTGAGACCCTGCCAGCCCGACTCTGTGCAGTGTGGGGTGGGGGTCGCAATGAGGTGAATGCTGGGGGTGCCGGGGGGGGGGGGGGGCTGCGTGCACTTTGCGTTCAGCTGGGTGAAGGTCGTGCAAAGGGCTGCTGGGCAGGTAGTGGCCTCGTTCAGCTAATTAACTTGGTGAGCTGGTCGGTGTGTCGTGGGGGCAGGTGTGGCACTGGGCTCTATTTATTTCAAGGTAAATATTGTCTCTGCGTTTGCTGTACACGAGGTTGCAGTGTGTTCCCTTGCTTTTCTGTTGTTGGGATGCAGATCTGGGATTCAGAGTAGACCCTAGGAGGAAAAGATTACAGTAAAATAAAAGCTTCTATTTCTCCTCAGGTGTAGAGCAGCCTGTTTGCTGAGGGCAGAGGCGTGTGCTGCTGGGTGCGACCTCTGCCAGAATTAAACTTCCCTGGCTTCCCTTCTCATCTCACCCAAATCCTCCTGATGACATTATTTCCCTGCTGAAGCTGTGGCTGACAGTCAGTTTGCCCATGAAGGAGCAGCTCCTGCTCTCCATCTTCCAGGATAAGACACCCTATCACCTTCCTGCGACAGCACTCTGTCACATCTCCTTGACTGGCATTTTCTGATTACTTTGCCTGGGCTCCCGGCTTCTCTGTCAATTCCCCAGGAGGAAGAATCATAGAATCATTAAAGTTGGATAAAACCACTAAAATCCCCAACCCCAGCCCACCCCACCATGATCACTGCCCATGTTCCTCAGTGCCACATCCCCATGACTCTGGAACATCTCCAGGGACAGTGACCCCAATACTCCCTGGGCAGCTGTGCCACTGCATCACTGCTCTTTCAGAGAATAAATGGTTCCTAACAACCAAGCTGAACCTCCCTGGGGGCAGCTTGACTCCATTACCTCTCTGGTGGCTGCAGGAGATGGTCAAAAAAGCCAGGTGTTCTGCTCAGAAAGAGGAAGGACGCACATGCCTGCCATCAGAGCCACAGACTAATTTTGCTTTATTTTCTGTATCATCTGTAGGCTCCTTTATCTTGAGGAGAAACTGCTTGATTCCTTCTGCCAGAATTTTTTTTGCATGGCTGTGACAAAATGATTTTGTTCTCCTGTGGCTTGTTGCCCCTTTGGTAAATGGGGGGATTTATTCCTTTGTTTCTTTAGACTTTAAGTGCTTCAGGGGCTTCTCTCTTATGCTGAGTTTGTGCAGGGTAGCCCTGATCGTAGCTGAGGCATTCAGGCATGGCCATAGTAAACATAAATAGCAACAACCATATAATTACTGTCTGCAAGCAGATCATTTCCTTATAAACCAGGACATATTAATAATATCTGCATCACAGTTCCCCAGATGTTTTTGACATATTGTTTGTTTCTCCTAGGTTTTTAAACTTTATTTTCCATCAGGTTGCGGACTGTTATTTAATAACTGTGTCACTGCATTTGCTGAAACCTCCCATATGGAGGCAACATACACTGCAATTTAACTTACGGCAATGCCAGAAATGCGCTGCTGAAACAACACGAAAGGTCTGGCCTTGGGCTAAATACAAGATATTACTGTCTTTCTCTTGAAATGCTGGAAGTATCTGGGCCCCTGTTTCTCGTTAGGCATTTCTGCATCTCAGCAGCTAATTTGACCTGATGCAGAGGGGGCTTCAGGGCATCTTTGAGGAGGGTTTGGAGATGCTGAATTGGGCGGGATGTGTTGAGAAGGGTTGGGGTTCAGGTTGGGGACAGTGTGGTGCCCCTGTGTGCAGCACTTTGCCCACTGCCCTGTGTGGAGACACCCAGATCCAAGCACCACACTTACTTCTTAAGGAGTGTGCTAGGAACAGGGAGGCAAGTGTTGGTATACCTGGTCTGCTAGACGTGTCAACAAGAGGTTCTATCTGTGGCAATTGGAGACAGCACAAATGACCACTGAAAGGCATCAGGAAGCAAAAAGAAAAAGCATGTTTTGTTCAGGTCATTCAGTGCAAGTGGGTAAGAATGATCATCTTCTGTGGGTAAAGTCAAGTAGCCTTATTTATCTCCCTATCAGGTTGGTAATTGTTGTAGCTCACACCACATAAAATCCTTATTCACTCATTATCCTATTACGAGTTGATCATTAATATCAGTGTCCGTGTCACAATAGGGCTCGGTGGTTCCATGCAGATGGATTAAAGCAAAAAGTGGCTCTTTTCTAATTAATTCCTTTTTTTTATCGATTAAGAAGTCGTAAGTGCAGACAGCTAGGAACTTTATAACTAGTTCTCTTTGATACAATCTTTTGCAAAGAGATGTATCTAAAATTTCTCAGCACATTTATATATTTCACAAGTCCACTATGATTCTCAAACACCATTCTGACGTTGATTCATACCGTGGATATGAACTCTCCCAAAGTGGTGGCTGACCTGTTGTCTTCCTGCATCATCTCCCACACCATTACAGCAATTAACTTCATGTAACGATGTATACTACACAACAATAAAAAATGTAAGTAAATATTTTCATTTGCTGTTGTTTTCATAGGACTGAAGTCATTTCAGCTCCTCTAAACCTGTATTTGCTGCGTGATTTTTCTTGTTTTCAGCAAAATTCTGCTGTGCAGTTATTTCAGTTAGCATTTCAGAGAGTAGCAGTGTAATTTTTGCCAGCAGAATTCAGTCTGCCTTATGTTTATGATGGCTGCAGGGAGTCGGGTTTCTCATTTATTTTTGGTTTTAGCTTTCAGTACAGTCAGATGGAGTGAAAAAAACACCAAAGAAGCTGATGGGCTCTGAAATGCCCTGACCAGGATGACATTCAGTAACACAATTGTCTGTACTTTAGAGATTCACCCAAGGAATGGCTCACTGTCTAAGCTGGTGTTACTTGTGATGACAACGGAGAGTGTTTTATTCCTAACGCACATGCAATTTTTACCAATGAAATAATTCAGTATGCACTGGATGGAAATGGGTGAATAGGGAGCAAAGGAATGAACCATGGAAGTATTTGTTGTACAGAGCGCACGTCCTTCTGTTCTCAAGTAGCACTAAGGTGGATCTGGATCCTTCAGATGCTTGGCCAAACCATGGCAGACAGGTATCTCTGTGGCAAAGGGCATTGGCACCACTGTTTTAACCCAGAACCCAGGGTGCCAAAACACACAGAAACCCAGCAGGGACTGCTCTAGTTCATTGCAGGTGAGGGTATTGGAGAGGTACGTGACCAGACAATCCAAAAATGTGTTGTTAGGATCATTTGGCCCTTTGAAACTTTTAACCCACCGCATTTCCTGGCTGCTTAGTTTGCTGTGGCATGCATTTGTTGTAAATGAGTTGTAATGGAGTTGAATGAAACACACCTCTCTGCAGATAGCTGGCAGATACTGGCTGCCATTTGGGGCAGATGAGAAAGCCATCAGTGACTTAAAGCCTTCTGTTGGAGCCAGCCTTAACAGCACCTCTATACTGTGCTCTTATTGTCTTAATTGATTTATACAGCATTGGCATGAGGTGAGCTATTCGCTTTTTATCTTCCAAATAACAGGGAGTTGGTCCCTTATAAGACAGAAGGTGGTTAAACACCCATAAAAGATGCCCAAGCTGAGCTCTGCTATTTGCATTTACAGCCCTGTGCTGATAGTATGGCCATTAGCATATCCATATGAAAAGCACACAGTGGTTGGACCTTTACAACATCCTGTTGTTTGGCCTGTATAGTGCATCTGTGAGCCGGGCCTTCTACAGGGGCCCTGAAAAGAGCAGCGGAAATCTGGGGCGCGGGGAGGCTGCAGAGCAGCTGGGCAGTCATGTTAAAGTCAGCTACCTGGGGAGCCGGACAAGGAGAGGATTGTGAGCAGAACAAGTGGAACGGGAACTGTAAAGCAATTCGGCATGTGGGGATTCGGGCGGGATGGTGGTGGGTTTACAAAGAGCCAGCTGAAAGCGTGGGTAGGGCAGGGAGCAAGAAATCTTTGTTGCAACGGATGGTAACCAAAGCAAAGTTTCCTGGTTTGCTACATCTTGAGGGCATGGGATAGCAGAAGAGTCCTAGAAAGGCTTTCAAAACGAACTATACAAACTCTTGGGTTAACATCCATTTGTTTGTCTTTACACTTAATTCTGTTGGCAGTTTCTATCTGCAGATCCCAAAGAAGGCTGGGTGTGACCATCTGCCTGCTCTGGAGGCAGCCTGAGAGACACAAAGAGATGGAGCAGTCCCTTGTAGGCACAGAGGTATTCACTGGCTGAGCCAGGAGCAGATCCAGGAACTGACCCTCACTGGCTGTGAAGTGGCCATAGCTCCTCAGCAGCCTGTGGTCCCATGTTTCTGCAGCACTAGCCATGTACTCAGGCTTCTTGAAGTGGTGGACCTTCCTAAAGTAGGTTTTCTTCACTAATCAGCAATGTTTGTTATTGTTTTAAAAAGAGCTGCCTGCTCAAAGGTATAGGTACTCCGAGCAAATGCTGTCTGTGTAAATTGCATGAATAAGTGCTTACACTTCTGGAATTTAAATATCATTAACCTTTAGGATCTTGAGCTATTTACCACCCATCAGCACAATTATGGCACATACTAATATTTACCAACAAAGAATAATAAAATGTATTACCACGATACCCACTAACAGTGCTTGTTCTTCTACCATCTAAATTCTGATTAATTCTGAAATGGATTAGCAGCTCTCTGCCTCATTCAGAGCCTTAGAACTTGAGACTTGTCTCAACTTAATGCTGTTAGGTAACTTTTTTTCCCATCTTTCATGTTGGGTGAACTTGGTCTGGAATCTTAAGAACCAAACCAGATCCTTTGCATATCCTCAGCAATAGCACCATCATTTATTACCACCATTAGGTTTAGGGGCCTTCATTAAAATTGCACATAGTCCTTGCAAGCGATGCCCTGGCAGTAGTTCTTAGCTGTGCTGCTTCTTCAGAGTACAGTGAGAGATGCAGAAGTCAGCTGAGAGGTTCTGCAGGTACCGAAGGACGCTCAGCTGAGTTTTGCTTGCTTTGAGGGAGCTTGTATCTGCATTTGGATCCTTAGCAGTTCATCACTTCCAGATTGAAGTCACATTAGGTTTGCTGAAATGCAGCTTGCTTTGCTGTGAAATCATGTGGCACCTTGTAGAGTGCAAGGCGCATCAGAGCGAATTATTTATTGATAAAATAGGCTAAATGAAGCCTTTTGGCAATTGACTTGCTTAAAACAGAATCCATTATTTACTAACAGATGCTGTTTGTATACAAACTGAGAATGTGACAGTGACAAAGATAGTTTGGTTTTGATTGAACTTTTAATGGAATAATTAGTGGCTTCAGAGACAAAGCAACTGCTTCAGGAAAGAACTAAAACTATTGGAGTACAATTAATTATATTGTCCATAAAAATGTTTTGCCTAATGAAAATAAATATATTCCAGGTCTGTTTCTGCTAACTGAATACCCCAAAGCTCTGATTTTTGTTATTGACAGCTCCAGAGTGGAGAACTGCCAAGTGTTTAAGGTCTACCAGAATTTATTTTGCTCCAGAATGCACCTGTAGGTTTGATCAGCATTCGGTGCTGTGTGAGTCTGTGATGTAATCTGCCCTTATGCTCAAGCAGGTGAAATGTGATTTACATTACCAAGTAATGAGTTCAGTAATTCCAGTATCTAATTGGTGCATCAGGGGAAGGCAGCTGGTGTGAGAAATGCAGGACTAGACAGGTCTTGTGTTCTGTATGGGAACCCAGTATCTGTACTTCTTTAAAAATACTAAGGGTGATTTAGATACTAACTAAAGTGTTGGTAGGATTTCAAGTTTACAATGAACATCAACTAAACAATTTAAGCTCTTGCTGTCAAAGTGTTTCTAAGTGGTGTTTCCAGAGTCCTCAGTTCTATAATGGGACCATTTTGAATTTCACCACTGTCCACCTAACAAGACCAGGCATTAATTACTGTGACCTGAGCTGGCTCTTCATGATGTAACTGACTAATTATTGTGGCTAGAAAAGAATATTTGCCTTCTTTGTATAGCAGTGTGTGATTTGCTAGGTGAATTAAGGGGAATGGGGCACTTGCCTGTGATGGTGGCCACTCTTCATTGCTTCAAAAGGCAGTGCATGAGCCATGCAGTGAGCAACATGGAATAATATGGCCCTTCAGGGGTTTCCTTTTGAATGATTTCAACTCTTCCGTTAGCAAAACCTTTCACTGAGCCAGAGGGTGGTCAGAGATGGGGAGGCCAAAGTTTAGCCTTCACCGTGCCCTCAGTTTCTTTTGCTGTGTGCAGGACAGCACAAATTGCAGGAGTGATGGCTTTCAGTCCAGATCCTTGGGCCATTTCTCTTCCTGTTGGTGTCACAGTCTCTTCATTGTCTAAAAGAACAGCTTTTGTGTTTTATATGCCCAAGGGCTGCCCATAAAGGTTGGCAAGGGCAGCTGGTTAAGTCTGCACAAGGTCAGTCAGGATGTCTAATAATTGTCCTAACACTTTACCTGTTATGGAACAATAATGAGAGTTTTTTCATTATTTTCGGGTGAGTGAACCTGGCAGATGCTGACAGCCAGCAGATGTGTAAAGTTCGAGGTGATTTGTAAGGGACTGGCTCATCTGACGCACAGTAATTGCACTGTGGGACATTGTCACTCAGCGTCCCGTCCTGCTCTGGCAGGATGAGGTAAAGGTCAGTTCAAAGAGCTGGTACAGCAGGAGGGACAGTGCCGGGCTGGAATTCAAACCTCGTCTTCCTATCTCCTGTGTACTCATCCTCACGATGTGCTTGGTACTGAGTTCTAGATTTAGGGATTGCTTGGGTGACAGAATAGTTGTTTTGCGACCAAGTGGTGAAGCATAGGAAGAGGTGCTTTTACCCACCTGTTGGTATTTTAGTTCTGTACTCATCTGTCCAAGTATTCTTTGATTTTAAGTATGATTTGCAGCTTGGAAGTTTTGTTAGCTTTGTTGCTTTGAGCTTAACAGGGTTGCAGGTGAGCTCATGCAGCAACAGGACTGTCAGACTGCTCATCTGCTCTCTGCAGCCCTCTGCACCTAGCTGTCCTCCTCCAAGTACAGCTCTGACAAGTGTTTTTTGCAGCAGAAAGGGTTTTAGCAGTTTGCCACCTGGGACACCCAGAGAAGCCAGCTCTTTGAGCACGCAGGCAAAACTGAAGGTTCCCTGTTCCTGCTCTGGGTCTGGAGCCCATTTTTCTCTACTTGCAAGCACCTAGTCCATTGCTCTTTATCTTACATCACAAATTTTGTTCTTTCTCTTCTCCCAGCATCCTCTCAGTCAGCAGTGCTAGAAGGTGCAGTAACACGCTCTGCTCCTGGTCCATAGGTGTGAGCATTAGCTGCTGCATCAGCTCAGAAACACAAGGTTTCCTCTGAGAGCCTACAGTACCATCACGTGCTGCGTGCTGAGCACTGAAGGACTGGTCCTGATGTGCATATAATCACAGTTAGCAGTAGGTGTGATTGTATCACACAGGGATTTGGCAGAGAGCTCACAGGGGGATTTTTTAGGGGCACCAACTTGGAAAGAACAGGTGAGCTTTCACTGAAAAAGTTTTTATGTAGCTATAACTCTTCATTGTAGATTCAAGTGTTTTTGTTGATTTTCCTTTGCTTAGCATTCCAGGATGCTTTTGAGAGCTATCTTTGTGCTTCAGCCAAAGAACTCCTATTTTCTGACCAACTTGACTGTATTCTTTCCAGGCCTTGCTTCTTACCAAGAACTCTGTTTGTTGCGATGATGATTTCTGGTTGCCACAAGGCCAGGAGCTGCCCAGGATATGTCTAATTCTGTCACGCATTTTAGAAGTGCAACTGTGGTTTTCATCTAAAATTCTGAGAAGAAGCTGAATTTGTAATACAGGAAAAGCTGGTCTTTGCTTTCAGCCAGCTTTCAGACCAGTTTGGGCACATTTATTTGTCTGCACAACTCAACGGTTAGCGATGTTCCTGAATTCATTTCATTGACCTTTGAGAAGAGAGGATATATTCTTATTCAACAAATGTCTGTTTCCAGACAATCATGAATCACAACATTTTTTACCTTCAGAATATATATATTTTTTGAACAACAGCACGCTGTTAAAAGTTTATGCATCCAAATTACATTGCTTTGCTTTTTAACTATAGCTGAAACCGTGTTTCGAATAACAGATGTGGAACACTGTCATCTCGCTGTCACACCAATTGTTCATTGTTCTGAGAAGGTCACATCATAATTCATTAACAATAATTATTCCCTGTGGACGCCCTGCACTTCTTCACTCAATTGCTTCATTAACTTGCGAGCGAATCTCACATTCACTGCTCCAATCAATGAAGATATATTTATAACGTACAAGTGGATGCTATTAGTTACAATATATTAACTGCCTAATTTAAAATAGAAAAGCTATCTTTATGAAGGGCAATTAAACACTAAGTGTAATTGATAATTCACATACCTATGATTAGGAAAGACAAATAATAAGAAAGAAATGAATCACCTGTGTTATTGAGGAAGACGCTGGCATGCAGCTTTAATGAGCAGAAGGGGCTCTCTGGATCAGGACTGGATTTCTAAGAATTCTTGGATGGAAAATTCTTCGTCGGATGTGTTGTGTCTGGGATTTGGTGTTTGCACCAACCTGTTGGGATCTTCTTTCCTAGAAAAAAGGACCCACACTTCTTGCTAAGAATCAGTGCAGGTGATTTCCTAATAAAAAAGCCATCATTCTTCCTAACACACACACACACACACACAAAAGAAAAACAATATTAGTTCAGTAACAATTGAAACCTAATCTCAAACTTTTACCTACGTATCTGAACCTGTATTAGGCCAGGTCCAGGTCCTCAGAGATGGTTGTATACATAGTCTTGCTAAAACTAACAAAATTTAGACATTTTAGTACATTTGAGGAGCTGAATGAGGGTCCCTTTGGCAGAAATTAAGAAAAAAAGATTGAGATAGATTTTAAAGGCCTCTCTTTTGCAATGACCACATTGAAATATGTTGATTTTCCAAAAGGCAGACAGCTGATCCTTGGAGAACAGATCTTTTCATGATATCTCCTATGGGTCACCACAACCTGGTGAATCCCAGCTTGGAAAGGTGAAATGCTTCTGGTGCAGTGCAACGAAGAATGGTTAGAACATATTATTTTCATGTGACAATGAAAGCTAGATGAGATAATGACATTTCTGCAAACGCTGAAGCACTGTGCAGTGTGTACTGTTGGCACCTTTGTTTGCAGGTGGGGAAGCAAAAATTGCTGTGAGGCAGAGGACTGGCATGAGAATGCAGAGCAGTGATCCCCAGGAATGGTGTCCTTGGCTCTGGGCGCTTGAGGCCATATTTTCTTTCTTCCCTTGAGAAGTCAAGAACTTTTTTTTTCTGTAAACATTTATTAATAAATCAATGAAACTGCTCTATTTTTCAGGATTACCCAACAAATAGCAGCACAGGTGTTTTATGAGAGATTGCATGGTAAATGTGACGGAAGCCATCCCTGCATTGATAAAAGCATCATTCTTGCAGCACAGTGTAACTGGCAGGCCTCGTGCCTGAAGTCTGCAGAAGTGCAAAGCTGTGCTGTTACCTCCAGTGTAAGTGCTGATCACTGTAGCAGATGACCAATGAGTGGAAAGGTAAATCCAAGCTAAAGTGCTAATAGTGCTATTGCACCAGCTCCTGTGCTCATGGCTGTGCAGTTTGTGTGTACATCCTGGGAGTGCTTTAATGATACAGGTGGGAAAGCAAAATTTCAACAGGATTTGGAGGTTTTTGATACATGGAGAGAATGTGAGCATGGCAGGCTGAGGTATCCTGCGTATCATGTCCATCATCAGTGCTGCCCCCGTGGTGATGTTAGCTCTGCTCCAGATGCCAGTTCCATGCTATGCAGGGGCTCTGCACGTGTAGTGCCCTTAAACTGCTGGGTGACTCACTGCAGCCTTTCAGTACCTAAAGGGAGCCTATAAACAGGAGAGGAGTCAACTCTTTGAAAGGGTAGATAACTGCAGGATGAGGGGAAATGATTTTAGGTTGAAGGAGGAAAGATTTAGGTTGGATGTCAGGGGGAAGTTCTTTACCAAGAGAGTGGTGAGGTGCTGGCAAAGGCTGCCCAGAGAGGCTGTGGATGCCCCGTCCCTGGAGGTGTTCAAGGCCAGGTTGGATGGGGCTCTGGGCAGCCTGGTCTGGTGTTAGATATGGAGGTTGGTGGCCCTGAATGTGGCAGCAGGGGGGTTGGAGATTCACGATCCTTGAGGCTCCTTCCAACCCGAGCTATTCTATGATTCTATGATGCTAATTCCGTGTATTGTAGGGATGCCTACATGGTCATGATAAAGGATCCTGCTCCTGTTGTCATCGTTGCATTTTTATTGTAATTATCCACTTTTTATGTGGTTTAGCAAAGCTGATACTCCCAGCTCCTTTTCCACGTCCAATTGACCCAATTAAATTCTGCTGCTTTTACTCGACAGAATCAAGGCGTCCGGCCTAAAGCTGCGGTTCTGCACTAACGAAACACAAGCGACCCGAGAGAAATTCGTGAAGAAGCTGCAGGGCCTGGGCTTTGACATCTCTGTGGCTGAAGTCACCGCCCCAGCACCAGCAGCCTGCCGCCTTCTGAAGGAGCGTGGGCTGAGGCCACATCTGCTCGTGCACGATGGTGGGACACCGCTGGGACTTGGGTGGGGACAACCCAGAGGGATGTAGGCGTCTGTGAGCAAACAGTGAAGTCCCATAGCTTGGTGGTGGAAGAGCTCGTAGCTGTTCTGTTCCTGTTCTTTCTTCAGTCATGAGACTCTAGAAGAGCTGTAACAGAATGGCTTGAGTGTGATCTCCATCAGTAGTGCAGTGAAGGTAGGCTGATGCAGTGACTTGGCAAAACGACAGCCAAGGAAGCCTCCTTTTGCAGGGATATCTTTTTTGGAGCAGTAAATAATAGTGTGGGAAGTAAAGAGCAGAGTTATCTGCAAACAGGTTATCCCCAGGTCTAGGTGCCTGTGTGTATTGAGCCACTTAGAAGTGGGTGGCAGGAGCTCAGGCAACAGTGGGAAATGGTTTATTTTTCTCCTCCTCGTGATGAACAGCAGGATCTAACCAGGAATAGAAGGAAGCTGAAGAACAGACTTGCATTTATTTATTTGATTCAGACGTATTTATTTTTTTTTTTTATGTGTTGAGTAAAGAAGGAAAAGAAACTCAAATCTACAAGAAAACCATCAGTTCAGGTAGGATACAAAATGGTAAGGAATGTATGGATTTCTTTTTCTTTAGATCTTGTCCCTGAATTTGCTGACATTGATAAAACGAACCCAAACTGTGTGGTTATCGGAGATGCAGCAGAAAATTTCTCCTATGCAAACCTTAATGAAGCTTTCAGAGTTCTGATTGGATTGGAGAAGCCTGTTTTGATCTCCCTTGGAAAAGGGTGAGTTGAGCACTGCTTGTTTCTCCCTCTTGTCTTTCTATTTTTTAATTTCACCCAATGCCTTTGTACTTAGTGGAAGCCAGATACTGGCTTTCACGCTGCCAACTTCTAAGTGGTTCACTGATGTGTCTAAATGGAGAGGTTGATCTGTTGAGTTATCTGTCGATGAAAGATCCTCAGTGGATCTGTGAGGATCCACACTTGGCCTCCTGTCTTGTCACTTTTTTTGTAGTCTTTCTAGAGATACAAGGAGAAACTGAAGTGAGAAGGTAAAGGGTGGTATGGATGCAGCACTCACTGGGATGAGACTCAATTCATCACTGTGCACATTTGCAGAGAGCACTGGCAATCACTCAGCATGCAATGCCAAATCCTCCAGCTAACTTGGCAAATGCTCATCAGGAGGTCTCTGTGGTGCACTGGGTAGGGCATCTCTTGAATTTCAGTTCTTGATGGTCATCTTTTGTCAATGCCCAAACTCCACCGAAGCTGTAGTGCAGGTGGGGATATCTGTCTGCAAGCAAAGTGTGGTGGCTGAGGAGACCTGAGGGGAGAGCCCAATGATATACTGAGAAATGTATGACCTGTAAAAGCCCCTCTGCTTTTGAACTGACAAATTGGTTGCTTTGTTAGTATAGGTGTCAAAAGATATTTTTAATTATACTCTGAACATTAAAGTGAAATTTTGACTACTTACTTGCATAGGCAGAAAAAGTCCAGTTCAGGAATTTTGAATGTTTTAGTTAAAACGTTCATTTAGATGTGTTCTGAGGTTGTGAACAGGTGGTTATTAATGACAATGCTGAAAAACAACAAATCCCAGTGGCCTTTGAGGAGTTATTCTTATCTGTTGCCCTGTGTATGGACTTAAAAAAGAATATGCATGTTTAGTTTGTGGAAACCATAGAGACTTTTTTTCAGTGGTTCAATAGACCATAATGAGCGTGAAAGCCCTTCTGAGTTTGTGGGTTATTGATCCAGAAGGTAGATCTTATCAGCGAGGAGCAGTTAAATCCATTGTGTTGACAATCCTTTCACTCACATGCTCTGATCCTATAAACCAGGGAAAAAAGTCCATGCAATTTTTTGTGTTGGAAGGATAAGGAAAAGCCATTATAAGCCAACAGCACAGCGGCTAACGTATGTGAAATAACCAAGCGTTGTGTGCATCATTCCATCTTTCAAAATGAAATACAGAACCTACTTTCAAGATTGCAACATGAGCAATGCCAGAATGCCTTTGTGCCTTCTGCATATAAAAGTATTTATTTGTTTAGTCCTTCATGGATGTAGACAGCTCCAGAGCAGGCCCACAGTTTGTTCATTTGGTGGGGTGTGGGTTTTATCATTTATTTTTATTTTTTATTTTTTAATGAAGAATAACCCATGTTTGGATTTCCTGAGCTCAGTTTTTGCTCTTCTACAATCGAACTTCTAGGTACTGTAAATAAGAGTCCTGCAGAAATGGCTGAATAAGTTACTCTGGTAGGTAAGTTCTCAGACCTGATGAATGGAGATTATAAACTGGATGAATTGCTTCACAGTTTATAGCTAAGATGCATCATCAATGCCAAGAGTCATGTGAAAAAGACAACAAACCACAGGTCAGCTTTCTTGCTCATGTGCAGAATCAGTGTGCGAGGACCTTAACAACTCCTCTACCTGGAGCAAGCAGGTTGATTTCTGTTAAGTTTTAGTTCATTCCGTGGAAAAGGAAAGCATCAGAGTCAGTGAAGCAGAATGCCCTCCTCCTGAAAATGGAGTGATTTACATTTAGCATCTGTTTTGGGCTGAGAGTGGGAATTGGCTTTGTAATTTCTTCTGTCATGCCACTGTCAGAAAATTAAGCTGTTTACGCTAGACTATAGAAGGTTAATGGCTGTTCTAGCAAAGGTCAAGTGGTCATTTTAAAAGGAGGCTGTGCTGAATAATCGAAAATGGCAGAAGGATAAGGCATAAAATCTTCACTGACTGCTCATCCTACTTTTTTTTTTTCTGTCATACAGAAACCCATTTTTGCTCTGATCAGAAGAGCTCAGAAGACCTGGGTTGACATGAGTGGTTATTCAGAAAAAGTCCATGCAGACTGTAATTAATTTTGTGAACTTCATAGCAATAGCAACGTTTTTGAAAAGAGTAAAATCTAGTTTTGAGGACATTCTCAGTCCTGATAAAAATAAAGGCAAGTGAAGGCTGATGACAAGCAATGGTGGTCGCCTGTCTGGGGCCTCCTTCCAGATTTACTGAAGGAGGTCTTGCATCTACCTCTGCCTCTGATCAAAACAAGAGCAACGCGCCTGCTGTCCTTTGTGAGAAACTGGTACCTTGTGAAGTAGGAAACGGGTCAACTTCATCCCTAAAATAAACTTGAGGAAATCCCTTTCAATGAGTAGAGTCGTGTCCCAGCTGCCAGATGGGCACCTGGTCTGAAATCTTTGCACAGTGCTGAGCCTGCTCTTTACTTAATTCCTGGTGCTAATTTAAGGCTTCAGAGTTTCTGATGACTTGACTTTTTGTTGCAGCCATATGGACATCTGTGTAGGCAGAGAAATAATAAAATGTAGTTTCTTTGGATTTAACTGCCAACATTTTCATTTCATTGGAACTTTATCACTTTCATTTCCAGACGCTACTATAAAGAAACTGATGGTCTGAAACTTGATGTTGGAGCATATATGAAGGCATTAGAGGTATTTTATAGCTTGCATTATGCTTACTCGCTCTGTGCACCTTGTTAAAGAGTCACTGGCATGAATATGGGTCATCATCTGTAATTACTCTCCTTGGTGGAGGAAGTTTTCACAGATTGAAACCCATTTGCTGCATTCTGAAGATGACTGGATTTATATTGTTCATTTTTTTCTGTATTTAAGCTTCTACCATCATGGTATCTTTATTGGAAGCGAGGCTCTTGAAGGAAGAAACTGGAAAGCAAAAACACACCATATTTTCTGCAAGATATCCAAGAAAAAACTGAGGGTCCATTAATGTTTGGCATAGCATTGTTAACACAGCCCCTTGCCCTTAGCAATTTACAACATGAAGTCCTTATTCAGCAAGATAACTTATGTGCAGTCTGTTTTTAAGCCAAAGTCTGTGCAGAACCCAGTAGATAAACTGACCTAAGGGTGAGAGAAGGGAACAATCATTACACTCCTTTAAAGAGGCTTGCAGAGAGATTCTAAAAAAATTCATACTGAGTGAATGTGAATAATAAAACAAAATACACAAGCACAGAAGATAGTGGATGTAACGTATGCTTGAAGCACATTCATTTGGATAAGTATGAGTTTTGGAAAGATTTTCTGCCTTCCCAAAAAGTTTGCACTTTTCATCATCATGGAACAAGCTAGAAATGCTTTATGTTTTCAGGTTTTCAGCACGTTGCTGGAGAACAAAGCTTTTCAACTCCGACTGGTTACTTTAGCCATTAAAAGTATGCTGGGAGGTTGAATGAACTCTCCACATCTTTTAATGTGAAGGTTTTTGTTATTTCTGTCAGAGTGGGGCTCTCACAAACTGGAAGGATACTGGAACTCACTTGGTAGGCTGCTGTCACGACAGAGAATCAAGCAGGTTTGTAGCTCAAGATGCTTCAAGAGGACTTTCTCTTTTGACAGAGAGCACTGAACACTCCTGTTATCCAAGCTACCAGATAGTAATCTTCAACTGCTAACCCATCGTGTTATTTAAAGCTGAAAATCAATAATTACATACTTTTTATACAATTGACTGAAGCTACGAAGTTGAACAAATCCTTTTCTGATCTTAATAGTGTTATCTGTGTCTTCCTCTCTCTTTTTTTTTCCAGTATGCCTGTGATGTTCAAGCTGAAGTAGTGGGAAAACCAGCAAAAGCGTTCTTTGAGTCAGCCCTAGCAGAAATGGGAGTTCCTCCAGAGCAGGTAATGGTTCTGAATGATGGAAGATGTTGTGCTTCACAAGATAACAGCTGCTCTGAGGGCTGCAGGAGGGGGATTTGCAGCTAAAATGTTATTTCCTTTGCTATCACATTCGCTGTTTTTTTTAGTACAGTTCCTAAAGGGAAAGACAGGAAGCACCGACTGGCCCAAATCCCCTCTCATGTTGCTGCTTTCATCAGGCTTTCCAGAAACACACTGAGTGTGTGGGCTGCTCCCTGCTTGCTTAGTACAGCCCATTTTTTCCCTCTCTATTTGTGCCCTCTTTATTGATCTGTTGTTATATCACACAGGACATAAGGATGAGTACGAAATGACTAACAGACGGCAGTGAATTACAAGGTAATAACTCCATCACAGGCTTCTGGTGACATCATAAACAATTGGAGTGAAGTTTGGGTGGCTTGTAGGTCCCTGGAGCCTGGAGATGAAATTATGGCCCTGTAATTCACTGTGTGCTTGAGTTGTACTTTATTATAGAATGAGAAGATGGAAAAGACCTAGTAGGCCATCTCATCCATCTCTTTCCCCATGCAGGAATGTTCCCTGCTCCATGTTTATCCATGTTTTGTCCAGAGAGTTTTTAAGTGAGCAAACAGCAGCCTTTTTAAAGCTCCCTAGGGACAGTATTCAGAGCTTAGTAGATCTCATGGGCAGGCAGCTTTTTCTGACATTCAATGAAATGATCTCCATTTAAACAATATATCCTTCTTTTCATTTTACTCTAGGTAACAACCAAAAAATAACTGGTTTCCTTCCTGGATGTTTTCTTTTTCCAATTATCTCTAGGCTCCTTATCATTACAGTGGCTTTCTCTTACCAAAATTGTGTGTTTAGCTCTCAGCAACTTTCCTTGCAGTTCAGTCCCTCTGCCCCCTAAGCCAGCATGGGGTTCTTTTCTCTACTGCCTTCAGTTTGTCAATATCTTCCCAATAACATGATAGCTCAGCCTGAACAAAATATCCTAGATATTGAGCAATTACTCGATCCATTCATCCAACCAACAAGCCAAAAAATCAATTTCAGAAACAGAATGGCATCTGAAGAAAAAGTAGCTGGAAAAAAAGAAAGAACAAAAGAAAGAAAAAAAAAAAAGCCCACATACATAACTCAGCCCTTCGATTCTATGCCTCTCAATTAGAGGCATGAAGATATGTTTTCATTCTGCTTGTATGAGATGTGAATGGCATGCTGCTCTGGGCTTTTCCAAGGCTCTGTATAAAGCCATTGCTTGCCCTTTTCCACAGGTAGACAATGTGGTGGTCCTCAAACTTTGTTTTACCCACTTTGCCAACGTGTCAGCCCCTACCACTGTGGGGAACATCATTACAGGGATATGTTTCAACACAAGACTGCAACACCACAACTCGTTTCTCAGCGAGTTTCTTGTTTCTTGTTGCCCTGGGGAACGAGATTTGAACAGATGATTTAATCATAGAATGATCTGGGTTGAAAAGGACCACAATGCTCATCTAGTTTCAACCCCCTGCTGTGTGCAGGGTCGCCAACCAGCAGACCAGGCTGCCCAGAGCCACATCCAGCCTGGCCTTGAATGCCTGCAGGGATGGGGCATCCTGTCAGCATCCTTGGGCAACCTACAACAAACTACAGAAGAGCATGTGGATTTTCCTAACTTCTGAGTGCTTAACTTTGCAACTTTAATGCTCTTTTGAGGAAGATTTTTTTTGGGTTGTATTAGTCATACAAAATAATAAAAACTCAGAGTATGTTGTTCAGTAAGGTCCTTAATCAGTAGCACATTGTGTTACATTTTAATCTGTCTCCTGACTGAGCTTTATGTCTTTGTAATGGCAAGATGAGGACTGGCTTTCCTAGCCTTTACTTTTATAAAATGTTTGCCTGTAATTTATTCCACCTGTGGAATGCATTTAATCCATTAAAGTATTCTAGATGAGCTGTGCGTTTGAAAACATATTACAGTTTTCTTTTACCTGATGTTTAATGAGAAGTATCTTTTTAATAAAGCTGTCTCACCACAGTAATGCTAGACAGTGGCAAACCTGAAATTTCTCAAGCCACTTTAATCAATAGAGTTATCACCAGTCATTTCCCTTGGTAACTGCTTCTTACTGAGACCCCGACTTTACCTTCTGCTGCCAAGATGTTTTCAGCCTGCACTTAGAATGGGAGGAACTCCCTGAAGTCCAATTTTCATTTTAACCTTTCCTCAATGGCCTAGAAATAACAGATTGCCAGTATTACTTTAATAGATTGGAAATTTAAACCTCTTAGAGGTAACCAGATTTGTCTTATGATTCAGTAGTATGACAAAGAATAACACATCTTAAAGGTTACCGAGATACCTAATTCGTATGTTTTAAGGCAGCTGTAACAGTGGGTGATTTTTACAGCTTTACAATAAAACCTAAATAATGTTAAGGTTCCCCTAGTTTTATATAATCATAAAGAAGTTCTATCTGTAGCAAATTGTCCTGCTTTGCCCGGAGTTATGGTGGGTCATACCGGAGTGCATAAAGCCCTGGCAGTTAACCAGTTCCATTGCTGCCACCTGCACAACTCAGGTGGGGGTCAGCAGTGCATGAGAGCACAGCGGGGTCACCCCCAGATCTGCTGCTGTGCAGCCATCCCTTCCCCAATCACCAGGATAACGGGAAGGTTCTCCATCTCAGGAAGAAGAGTTAAGCAGCCACGTGAAGTTTCAAATACTCAGGGGGAAGTTCTTCACTACGAGAGCGGTGAGGTGCTGGAACAGCTGCCCAGAGAGGCTGTGGATGCTCCATCCCTGGAGGTGTTCAAGGCCAGGTTGGATGGGGCCCTGGGAAGCCTGGGCTGGTATTGGATATGGAGGTTGATGGCCCTACATGTGGCAGAGGGTTGGAGATTTGTGATCCTTGATGTCCCTTCTAACCCAAGCCATTCTGTGATTCTGTGATTCTATGATTCGCTGGCCTGGCAGACGTTGGCACCTTTGGAAATCTGCCCTGGAGGTGTCATGTATTTCTTTTTCTGTTTCACCTGCCTTGTTGTACAAACTCTATGGGGTCAGAGGCCACAGGTGATGCCCTGTGCATGTCTGATGTTTGCACAGCCTGGATAGAAATGTAATTAACAGAATTATGGGATCTTGAAGCCTAGGAGATTACCAGCTGGGCCATGGGGAATAGGGAGAAAGGTAAATGCATCATATTTCTTGGGCAAAGGCTCTTAACACATCAAGATTTTGTGCAGCAGCTTTATTTTATTTCATTTTATTTCTACATTGTTGGCACACTTAGCTTGGGTTATTAAGCCTATAGCAAAAATCTGCTTTGGCTTAAATACTTTTGGCTCTAGAATCATTCACTGTATTAAATACTCTGCTGAAGCATGCGTCCCTCTTTGAATCTTCATGTTTGCACCTTCAGCCTCTAACATATTGTGTGTGAGCTCCTCCCAGCAAGCAGGGCATTCAAACAGGCAGAACTAGGTAGTGGGGAATAAGGGCTAGTTTGACTGGAACGATGCAGTGGCAATGGCTTTGCTCAGCTTTGGCACATGTCTGCTTTATTTATCATGGTACAGCCACACACCATCTCTCATCAGCTGTAGGGTTTAGGGAAATATGAATTATACCCATCTTAATTCTGTAATGATTTTCTAACAGCCAGAGAGACGTCTCACTGCATTCTTGTCCTTTCTAATGATTTTTTACTTGGTGTAGAACAGTACCTTCCCCAGACGATTGAATGGATGAATGGTGTGGTTCCCGTGTAAAATTTGAACACAAATGGGGATCTTTTGATTCCTTCTTTCTGTGGGTATATGACCTTCCAGTTTTATATTTCTTTCTCTTCTTACCATATTGCAGTCAGAGAGGAAGTTAAACCCAGGTTTGACAGGTAGAGTTTTTTTTATTTCCCTTGACAGCGCACCTTTTGACCTCTATCTTCTTGCCAATGATTTTTTAAATCCTAAATGATTTGGGAATAATTGCTCCTCCTTTAGTGATTATTGCCCTTCACCGATAGTAAATCTGTGAAATCCCCCAGGGCTGGAGTACATTTTGGTATGCGTATGCCACAAGCTGGCCTGGACAGGCATCGCTGCTCATGTGCAGCTGCACTTGCAGAGCTGCTGTGAGTCTTGCAGGAAAACTTGCCTGGATGGAGTGAAATACAGCCCTGGTGAGCGCGCTTCTCCCCAGGGCTCAGAGCCACCCTGCTCTGCCCTTTCCTGTGTTCTGAACACATTCATTTCCAGTGTTTTGAGGATCCAGGAGTGAAAACAAAGGGTATACACAAAAATAAGGGAAAAAAAACCAGAATCTGGCAAAATTGTTCTCTGCCAGCTACTGTTACCGATTTTCCCCCAAGCTGCTTTGAGAAATGTAATCACTCCCATCATTCTGTTCTCTTCACCTATGTATTCATGCTTTATTTACTCATTACTTGAAATCAACCCTTCCTCATTTCATGTTTGGTGCAGTGGTAGGGAAAGGTGAGCTATCTGCAGGGAACCATTCATCTTTCTGGGAGCACGTGTGTTTCCATAAGCAGAGCAGATAAGGAAAATCATCCAGTAATGAAAGGATGAAAAAGGATTGAGCCCTCTAACGTGTGGTGGCTTTGAAGCAGTTTGTAGGCAATGCTATCTGTCCCAAAGCCTCCTTCTGCTCTTCCCCTATGGCCATGTTTCCCCAGCTCTGTGATCCCATGAGTCTTTGTCTCCTTGCTCCTTACAGAGGCTCGCAAAGGGTGATCACAGAGGTTTTGCTCTTAGGCAGAATGAAGCAAGGGTGTGCATATATAAACTGCTTCAAAACAAACTGCTTCAGCATGGAACCAGACAAATGAGCCTTGACTTGCAGGGATGGCCTATTACATCCCATCACCTGAGGGATGATGATAATCCTTCACATGAATGGTATTTAAAAGCAACATGAAAGATGAACTGGGCTGGTAGCTACTTTATGTAATCTTGCATGCTGTTCCTGATGCATTACTCAAAAGAGGATTTGTGTTTTATCAGCTGAAGCTGTTCCAGATGTGCATGTACCTATCTCAGTAGGTACATGAAGGCTCTCACAAAATAATCTGTTTAGATGGGCTGTAGGTGTATCCTGAGGTTTCCTTTATGTGCTATTTAGTAAGTAGGAGAAGGTTCTAATCAGATGACAGATTGTAATCAGATGACAATTAAAAATAGCTCTGCACCCTTAGTACTTTTAGTCTTCTATATATTTAACTTAATCCTGCCCAGTAGACAGCTTACAGAGTGGGAACTGCACTTTTTGTTGAAATAGAGATGACAGAAGGAAACTGATCCCATCTTTCCAGCTGCATAGCCATGGCCCTGGCTCATGCATGGCACCCATAGCTCAGTTCCAGAGCAGCTCCCTGCCTGACAGCATTAAAGAGAACTCTAAAGAGTTTCCCTTATGTCTCTGGGGACACAGAAGGAGGAAGAGGGTATACATGCATGCAGGGGAAAAGAGTGCCTATGTAAGGTGCTGCCTTGGATCCCACTGGGGTTTGGTATTAGTACTGTGATGATGGGATGGGTTGGAGCAGAGAGAGGTAAGAGCAGGACAGAGCAGGACAAACAGGGTGGTTGCTTGCCTAGTTGGGTATGTTCATGTCATGAAGTAGCACAAAGCAAGTGTCTACCCAAAAGCATATTGCAAAGTTCACAGCCATGGAGCAGGAGACTTTACTGTGGAAAGTATGAATGCAGAAAAAAGCAATTGCTGCATGAATTCTTATTATTGTGATTCCGTGGCAAGAAGGGCTTGGAAAGTTTGGGTAAATGGATGTGTGATCAGGAGAGCAGCCAGGAGGAGTTTAGGTCTTTGTGTAGGTTGCTAGTTGGATTGTCGTGGAAATTCTGTTCACATTCTGGTGTTCCCATTTGGATATGGGTCAGCTGAAAAGGTATAGGGAAGAACTGCAAATGTGCTGAGAGGGATGAAGAAAATTGGAGCAAATGTGTTTCAGCTTAAGACACTGACTGTATTTATACACTCTGGAAATTCATTTCGTGGAGAGAACGCACAAGATACCAAACCATCACTTTCCAAGCTTGATGATTAGCTGAAGTGATAACTGAAATTATGCCTGCTAGAAAGACTTCTGCTTTCAAAATGTAAAAGCAGTTTCTTCAGTATGAAAAGCAATGCTTTCCTTACTTTTCCTTACTCTTTACCTTTTTTTTGATAGTGTGCTCAGTTGAGTTCATTTGTCACGTTGTGCACAAATTGATAAATTAGATTTTGCACTCATGGAAGACTTCCCAAATTTTTATATGAACCTGAAAATGGCTTGGAATCAAACTCTGTAAATTACACATTTCAGTGATCACAAGCTTAAGGTCTTGCCTAGCTCTTAGAATATCAATTTTAAGGAAATGTTTGAAAAGAAGAGCTTAATTTAAACTACTTGGAGCATAACATAAATGCATGGTTAGGAACGGACCAGGACTAACTTCATAAAATTCAACATTTTCTTTGAACTGCGTGCCACATCACTTTGATTTTCGTGATGGATTACAAATTGTACAGATGTATACTGCACCAGTATATTGCTCAAGGAGCTATCGCCTGAATTATATTCAAGGTAGAGTGACATTTAATCAATACGATGACAATCTTATCTTGTTTAATTTGCCTGATGGCAGTATTAAACATCAAATCAAGCTGTTTATTATGTCAAAGGAGCGTGAGGGATGGCAGAAATAAAATTCTCTTGACACCGATTTTTCCGTATTTCACTGCTGTGACAGGCCATCATGATTGGAGATGATATCGTGAGCGATGTCGGCGGCGCCCAGCAGTGCGGGATGAGGGCAGTGCAGGTGCGGACGGGGAAGTACAGGTCAGTGTGCTCCCCACAGCCTTTGCTCCACCTGGGTCGTCGTGGAAAGAGGGGAAATGGCTGCACTCAATGCTTTTTTGCACTTGCCTTTTGGCCAATCCACGCCATACTCTTAATTCTCACGCCACGCGTTGATTTCTAGAAGAAGAGTTACAGTTTCAAACTTGGTACGCCTTCTGAATAGTGCTTCAGATTGAATGCATGAGACCTGTCTGGTTGTTCCTTTTCTGTGCCTTTTTATGGAGTTTTACCTGTTGATGGCACCCATTTGCCACCCATGTCCATTTGTTGCCTGAACAAACTCCTCTTTGTGCAGCCTTAAGGCTTGGCTGCATGATGGTGCTTTCCTTTGCAAAATGCATCTTGAGTAAAGACTGTGTGAAAGCAGCAGAAAGGGGAGGCATGTTTTCTTTTATCCTGGCTGGATGTGGCTCTGGGCAGCCTGAGCTGGTGGTTGGCAACCCTGACCTTGGCCAAGGGGGTTGAAATTACATGATCGTTGTCATTTTCAACCCAGGCCATTCTATGATTTTATGATTTTCAAGAGATATTTTCTGTTAAACTACTGCTGTAATACTTCATCTAAAATTACAGCTATAATTTTGCATCACATTTAGTGCACAGAACTGGTTTGTTTCTTGGGTTTTGCTTATTTATTTTTATACTATTGTGAGTGTTCTCCGCTTGATACGAGACACGTCTGAAACTTCTAGCAGCATCAAGATGTTTAATTAAACTACCAACTAGGTGGTCCCTGTGGGTTACCTCTCATAGCCCTGTGAAGGACTCTGTATGTCTCCTCTTTTCTCCAGACATATTTTCAGCACAGAGAAGTCTGGAATGTGAGAGCTGTCTTTCCACTTCATGTCTAAATCAGAGTGAGCTTCTGCAGACTTGCTCACCTCTTTCTAATGGCCCTTCAGACCCTTCTCCATGCAGATGTCTCCATCATCATGTGTGTTCACTGACAGAGGAGCTATTGATACCTGCTCCTGGCAGCTCCTGGTAGAAGACTTGAGTGCAGTTATAAATATGGCATAGTCCAGGGGTGCCCAGTGGAAAATGAAGCCACTATGCACTGCCCAAGCAAGGTTGAAGCCAACTCAGGGTGACTCTCTAAATGCAGTGCAGACATCAGTCCCTACATTTAATGTTTGGACTCCTTTTAGCCATACCACCTTGCAGTAGGCATGGTTTGGTAACAGTATCTGTAATTTGATGTAAGGTGGGCTGTAGGATCGGTGCTTGCCACTGACTATCTGCAATGTTAGTTAGTTTTCAAGTGTTTTTTCTCTCTCTTAATTTGGGTTTACATAGGTAAATGAAATCATTCTGATGGACTAGTAAGTGATGATTTCTGAGGAAGAAAGTACGTCACTTGTAATATCATGGTTATTTATCTGTGATCTGTGTAATCCTATTAACTCCCTACAGGAGAATTAGGATTGAACAGTTGGTATTTCTCTGATATTGATCACCAGGAAGCATTTTGTGAATCCACATCTTAATGTCACACAGATACCCGTATCAGTGAAGGAGGTCTGTGTGTCAACAGAGAGAAATTAGACCCTGGCTACTGAGCGAGTCTGCTGACACAGAGCAGTGTGCTGCACCCAAGTACCTCTGGATGGCACCATTAGTACATCTACATCACAATTAGTTACCACTTCGGGAGCAACCCTGAAAGCCAAGGCTGTTTGTGCAAATGAAGGTAAAAGCAAATCGGCTTCAGGGTTTTACTGGAGATGCTGAGTGTTGGCATGGTGGGATTTCCAGACATTTTGGTTGTGAGAGCCTTGCAGTCCAGAATATGGGGCATCACCCAGCTGGGTTGCTTCTGTGCTGAGTGATTTTTTCCATCTCCACCACAATGGTGGAGTCTTGAACAAAAAGGATGCAAAGCTGATTCCAAAGTACAATAGACAATAATAAAGTAGAAGAAATGTTGCAGGAGCATTTCACATCACACTGCTGGATATGGGGAAATTACAGGTCTTGCAGAGGTTATCCCAGTCAAGGCATTTTGCACATTGTTCTCCAGGTCCAAGGGATTCTCTTGTTCTCTTCCACTCTTACTGAGATGCTGACCCTAACACCTTGTTATCTGCTGTGCATATCGGGCAGCATTCCTTCATTCAGGAGCTGCTGCAACTTATACCAACAACCCATGGACCTGCTGCCAATCAGGGGTTTCACACTGCAGCACAAAAGACAGCATGCGAGCTAAGGCTTACAGTACAATTTATGGTATTTCAAAGGGACTCCAGTGACTGTGTGCAGATTACAGAATGCAAAGCAAATTCTGTGTTACAGGCTGAGGTGTTCGGCTGTGCAGGTGATTTGAGATCCAGGGAGGAGCAGAAGGGGTATAAGGAAAGCATATCTGTATCTATGCTTACCTTCTCAAAGGCACTTAATCCTCCAACAGTACATTGGAGTTGCACTCTTCTTCAGCAGCCAAACCATGTGTGGAGGATATAAGTCCATAAAGTGTAATAAATCACAGAATAAAGTTTCTTTTGACAAAAGCAAGGGCAATAATGGAAAGCTGTAGGGGTAAAGTGGTGTTTGGAGTCGATCTTGGTTAATTTGATTCTCTGACACAGGGTGAGTAGTTTGGTTGACCAAGTATGGCCTTTTTAGGTGTAAACCCCAAAAGAGAAGTGTGAGCTGGTCTGCTGGTGGTGTCACCACTCTCAGTTACCCCTTCCTGCTGCGGTGTGCAGAACAGGCCTTTGCTGTGGACTCACAGCTGGGTATTTATTTCACCACCACAGCTGATAGTGCAACAGCCCTGAGCTCTCTTGGAACACTGCACATGAAAGAGAGTGGGGATGAAAGGAGAAAAGGGGACCAGGAAAGCTGCTGTCTCTTGCTGGCTCTGCCTCTGCTCTGTGGAAGAACTGGGTCAAGTTACTTCATGTTGCCCGTCTTCAGTTTCCCCACTTTATAATTATCCTTTGAGAATAATTATCCCGAGTTTATTAAGAAAGTGGTTTGTGATCTGTTCCTCTTATCTGATTGAAGAAAACATACTGCATCTGTAGAGATTTATAGGAAATCAGCTCGCTTGATGTGAGTGAGACAGATGTTGTGACAAAGACCTTTCAGGCTGACATCATCAATTGATTAAGGATTCTGATAAATGGGGTGGGTCTTCATCATAACTCTCTAAATAAAAGTATTAAATGATTCTAAAAAGCAGATTTTCACCCGCAGATAGATGAACAGCTCTCACAGCCTTTAACAGTCAATGAAAGATCATGGCTTGTTTTGTAAAGCAGCAGTCACATCCTAATGCTATGCAGTGTTGCTGCTTGAAATAGAAGCAGCATCACTCCCACCCTTGCTTTCTTGTTCACTGAATTACTAACCACAGCCAAGACGAACGATTTTATTAGCTTGTTCATGTTTCATGGGGCCTGATGGAGCATACCAGAAGTGGGTACTGAAAGGAACACGCAGCGGCACTCCCTTAATGCTGAAACAGAACCAGAGGCATTTTGATGGCCTCACAATCCTGGTGATGACGCCCGCTTCACATATTAGATGGAAAGACTTCCAACCCATATTTGCGCTATAAAAGATGTATTATAATTTATGTCAGTGTCTGAAGCAATGTTCATTAAGATCCAGTGTCAGCAAGTCAGCTTTCGTTCTGTTCACAGCATCAGAAGGCGTTGTCTTAGTCACCATTCATTACACATCCAAATCAGAGTTTGTTCCCTCCACATGAGGAGTTTTGCATGTGTTTATCAGTTTCTTGACCACACTTTGCTTACTGTCATCTCTGGTTCAGTTTTGTGAGGGAAGCTCAGAGTTAATACTGCAGAACCTTAGCATATGAACACGTCTGATGACAGCCTTACATTTCCCCATGTGTTCAGAAAGTCTAGGCACACAAATTAGAGTTTAAGCCTCAGGTGCTGTAGGAGTGAAGGGCCTATGAACAGGTCTAATTTCTTGATGTTGTAACAGGGTGTTACAGTCCAACCAGCTGCTCGTCATCATAGGATATCATAGAATCATAGAATCACAGAATGGCCTGATGCCATCTGCTTTCAACCCCCTGCTGTGTGCAGGGTTGCCAACCAGCAGCCCAGGCTGCCCAGAGCCTGGCCTTGAATGCCTGCAGGGATGGGGCATCCACAGCCTCCTTGGGCAACCTGTCCAGTGTGTCATCACCCTCTGTGTAAAAATATAACTAACTGCAGTGCAAAATAAAGCAATGCACTGGAAATACTTTACCACTGAACTGCAAATGGTGAATTTGGAGGTAGAAGATTTTAGCATTTGACTCCAAAGAGTCTTCCTTGGTGTGACTTCAGTTATTCTGTTTCTCTACCTGTATCTAGCCATATTTTTATAGTAGTCCAACTCTAATGAGCTGCTACATCTGAAACACTGATGAACGGAAGCAATTTGCATGTAGCAAATCAAGCTGGTAGTGAGCATATCAGCTTGTACTGCACTTTTGCTTTCCCTGTTTCCCACAATGTATTCACGCTGTAAAGGTTTCCATTCCTCCTACACTGAAATGAAATAAAGGACGCTGAGAGGACAAGACACTACTGCAGCAGCTACCAGCATCTGCGTGGGTACCACCAGAGCCTGTGGCAACTTCAGACTGGCAAGCTGCTTGCCCAAAAAGATTCTGTTTCTCTCCTCCCACAGATACGTAACTCACAAGCCCAGAAAAACAGCCCTGGTGGCTGGAACGAGTGAAAGGAGGCAGCTCAGGGGCTTTCCAGGGCTGCTCTCCTGCTCTGCACCTACTTCTACTGCATGCACCTGAGGTCTGTCTGGGAACTGCCTGTCCAAGGGGATCTGCAGCATCCCAGAGGGCAGGGCCACCCCTAGCTCCTGTTGGACACCCAGCTTCCCTTTCTGGTATCAGCCCCAAAACCACAGTCTGCGAGATGGGACAGGAAACAGGCTCTCATTTATTTTTATCTTTAGGGCCTTTTCTCAGTGCCAATGTAATGTTGCAGTAGAAAAAT